GCCATGTTTCCTATATTCTAGAGGGCATAGCGTAGAATCATAAATAATACAATGCAATCACTTTGTATCATAAACTGTGATCAATCTTACTGTCGAGGGATTACCTAGCTAGATATTGTAATCTGTCCAAGAGATTTTTATATCCTTTATGTTGTGATTCGTGTGATTTGATTGGAGAAATGTGTAGACTACAGTACATATATGATGCAACGGTTTATATTGAGATGTGTATGGAGACAGGCCTAAGGTATCATGTATAAGAATCATACCGATTTTTAAAAGATACGGTGTGTGGTATAAAAGGCCCAAAGCTAGTATAATATAAGGATGTCCAAAGTGGGATAGAAATAGTAAAAAGACTGTGAAAAAGGGGAATAAAAAATTAACGGAGTTCCTAATCGCAAGAGTGGGGAACCGGAAGTGGATACATTTGGCCACATGACTCACAAAAGAAATAAGGATGAACGTATCATATCATATAATGTCCAATTTCTACAGGGTCAGACAAATGTACAAAGAAGTGGTATCGATATGGAGAACTTTTTGAACACACGTTTCTCTTAAACCAGTCATAAAAAATCTAAAAATTTTACACATCGTCAATGGTCATCTTTTGAATGGTAACAATATGATTTGAAAAATATATACATATATATACTTTCATCTATATTGTTTTAGAAAACACATCAAACACTTGTTTTGTTCTTGGTGTCATGTTTCCAGAGTGAAATGAAACATCTTTCCGAACCTCATTGGAACAAAACGACATAAAACACAACATCTTTAGGTCTCTCAATATTGTAATTGTACAAAGGATATTTTGGTTGATTTAAAAAAAGTATCTTGTTAATGAAATAAAAGGTTTATCTATTTTGGGGGGGTTTTGTTTTAATTTTTTTAAATTATTTTTTGAAATCAACCCAAAATTCCTTTGTATAACTATAATATTGAGAGGTCTATAAACATGTTGTATATGCTATTTTGTTCCAACAAGGTTCGGAAAGACATTTTATTTCATTCTCAAGAATTGGTAGAAAGGAGCAAAAACAATTGCACTAAAAATACCGTGTTTTTTACAGAATGTTTTCAATGATTGGTTTAAGAGAAAAACATTGTTGAATTCAGTTCTCCATATCGATACCACTCCTTTATTGATTGTTTATCTTTTTTAAATGATACATTATATCACTATCATAACTTTATATATTATATTCTAAACTTCCATAATGTCTCTATTATATCACTTCAGATTAGTCATGTGTCGTGTGATGTGAGAACAATTGATCCACGTGTCATGCCCTAAGCGGAGGAAAATATATCGTGGACACTCACTGTGGAGACCCATTCCGTATTAGTCGGTTTGTTTCCATTGCTATGGAATAAAACTGATCATTTTATGAAAAATGGTGACAATATCCTCCGGTAATGAAGATTATAAGTTCGAAGGGCCATACTTTATGGCATACGCTCTAAAGAATTGCATGTACATTCTAGAGACAACAAATATATCTGTGGATAGGGACCATACCTCATTTTACATAAGCAAAAACGTGAAAAATGAGAAAAGATGTCACAACTTGTTTGAAACTCAAAATAAACGATTTCAACGGTTTAAAAAATTCGATGCAAGTCCACGTGTTAATACAATACGGAATGGGTCTTTGATGGAAGTCCACGTGTTAATACTATACGGAATGGGTCTTTGATGCAAGTCCACGTGTTAATACTATACGGAATGGGTCTTTGATGCAAGTCCACGTGTTAATACTATACGGAATGGGTCTTTGATGGAATATGAGGTGACCTAGATTTTCTAAAAGTTTTCTTCGGTAGTTTTACTGAAGCTGAATAATAAATATAACAGATTTGTTGTAAATTATTCGAAGTAAATAAATAGAAAATGACGAACAAAATAAAATACTTATGTTTACGAATATGATTACTCAGGCCTCCTAAACTTCCACAAATGCGATCATCATTTCCGAACTCGCGAACTATGTTCCTTCAACCCGAAGCGCGGTTCTCACAACGCGAATATCGATTCTTAGACGTGAACCGAAAGTTCCTCGGGTGTAAGAAACGTAGTTTGCGAGGAAGGAACTGCTGATTGCGTTAGTGAAAGTCTAGGAGGCCTGTTACTTATGTATGCAGATAGTAACAAAATCAACCAAGATATTATAACTACGTCTACATGTATATCATGAAAAGGTAAATGTCACTAGTGTCAACTGTTTTTGGGAGATGGGATTTTTTAAATATCTTAAAAATTTAATATTTTGTCCATGGCTAAAATGACAATTGGGGGCTTTTTGTGTTGTAACTGATTGACTATAAATCAGTTGATTTTGATTATGCACTAGGGCATGTACTGTTGTGTTGTGTTAACTTGTGTTTCGTAATAAATCTTACGAACGTCATGTGGGATTCTTCACATAATATTAACATTGACTGTCAATGCTAAGCCAATTAAATGTATGTCGAGCAGATCAAGTAACCACTATATTTTCCGGCCTCTTTAATCAATATATAGTTCCATTAGTGATCTTACTACCTAAGAAGCTAAGCAATAAACCTAGAATCTTGAGTTAAGTGACCAATTGTAGAAATTGATTTTCCATGATAAAACTATCAATCATAATTTGAACAAATTGGATGCCACCATAATTGTGGTCATTTGTTTTTTTATCATTGTAATTCTACTTAGCATAGAAGCTAATGTGGATATTTACAGATTTGCGCATGAATAAATCATTTTAAATCTATCCAGTTTAATATCTTGCCAATACACTGGATAAAATAAATGATTTGTACTTATCACTACAATCTGTTCTTGTGTATTTTTTACTCGTGTAGAGAGTCGGGTCTGTTTTTGTAGAATATGTTGCAATTTCGATCCAATCACACCCCACTTGAGGGTCCAGGAGAATAGCGAAAGAAATTTGAGCCTGGTTCTGTCTATGTTTATTTCACCAATTAATATTGAGGAACAAAAGATAAATTTTGAGTCAAATTGAGCAAAATTGTATTGAATTGAATTGGCAACTTACATCATGTCAGCTACTTCAAATATAGCGCGAATTCATAAGTGTATATCAGGTAGTTTTCAGTGAAAAGAATCAGCGATCAATAGATGTTACATTAATGGTGACAAGTTTTGTCAATATGTTGCTTAGTTACTGTACTTCAAGGTGACTTTCATAAATCTCCTCGGGTTGCAGCATGTGAAATTCGATTTCTAAAGAAAATACATATTTGAAAATAGCACCATAATAACGGAGCTCTTGTGGCAATTAACATTTCTTCACTACATTGCATTGATAATTCGATGGGTCATTACTGTTATTATCCATTCAACACTTATTCCATTGCCGATCTGTCTAATGGTTTGACGGAAATAGGTTTTTCAATAATGGACAGTGTGGATGGTACGTAAGAGATTGAATTACCTTAAATGTGTCAGATTTCGATTTCTTTAAGAAATAAAAAACATTAACTATATTACACATTAAAAGCGTAAAAGTAATATTCAACAACTAGGCCTACAGGCGTTTTCTATTTCACGTTAGGGACACGCTTATGTTATAACATAAATTGTTTTTCTGGTGAAACAATATATTGTTTAATATGGATTGGATTCATTTGTATACTACTTGACTAGAACATGAGTGGTTTGATCTGTTATGTCACGATCGTGTTGTGAATTAGTTGTCAAGTAATACAAGACTACAACACAGAAATTATGTTTATTGGATCAATGAAGAAGCGTTAAAGGCTATTTACAAATATGCCAAAGACAAGCAGGAACCCATTGACCGGTTGTATGTATAAACGATGATGAATTAGTAATTTCACAAATGATTCTGGGACAGAAAAAGATTGTCCATCATTAGGCAGTATTGTGAAAATGTTCCATCTATATTTGATTTGATATTTTATTTATTCAAAAGGTTTACCAGTATTATACTTTTTGACGTACGTAAGAACCAAGGTGATTGGGGGTAGATGGGCAAAGTAATGGTAGTTTATGCCAATAAAATTGAAATTCATAAAACTAATTGCTCTAATGTGCTAGAAAATACAAAAATGTGATTATTGCTTTGTTTGACAAAAAAAGTAATTTAGCATATTGAATTATCTTTCCAATTTGCTTTATTTCATGAAAATCGAGCCACTACTGACTGTGTTATGAATTCTTAAAGGTAAAAACGGTCAATTGCCAATTAGTCGCGAAACGCGTTCTCTTCACAAAAGAGAGAAAAACGAATTTTTTCAAAAACTGAATATTTCTAAATATCTATGCACACTACGGTAGTAGAATTATGATGATACCTTCGTCCAAATTTTAGATATGTTTTTTATTCTCCCCTACCCCCGATTTTTCAATTCACTATTTCGATGTTTGTGCCGTTGCTAGGTGGTTGCTAGGCAACATCATGGACCGAATTATATTGAAACAATACTAAGTCATACATATGCATACTAAATCACTGATTGGCATTTGTTGTACATCTTGAAATATATATGCTTTTATTAATTAAATAAGACAACACCAAGTTGAATTTGAAATTTCAGACTATTCAATTTCACGTTACAGCGATTTCGCAATACCTGCTATCTTTGAAAGTGTGTAACTTCAGTTCTAGAGAAGCTTTTGCCAAGATTTTAGTTTTATTTGAAAGATAATATATCATTCTTTAAGGCAGTGAAGCATTTTTGTGCACAAAAAATTATTGTGAAAGAAAATTGACAATTTATAACAAACTGTCAAAAATTTACACCCCTTAGGTCACGTTGACCTCGACTTGACCTATATTGGTCTTCTTTTTTAAGAAAATAAAACTTTTCTGAAGAGGTAATTGAATAAGGTTTACAACAATACCAACAATAATGAAATCAGACAAGTAATAAAAAATCGCTAGGGGGATCCAAATGACCCCCTCCTCACGACTTAGTGTTATTAAAAAAATGTTGCAGACATAAGGGTTAGAAAAAATACGTACAGGTATAGAACAGGCAATCAGGGACTCCCTTGCAAATGACTGAAGCATATAATCGAACATATCATCCGGGACTCCTTCAGGTCTGTCGAAGTCTACGATATCAGTGATCCCACCTGTAAAGTCTGTCATTGCTTCACTTGTGGTACCTCCAGACAAACTTTCATAATCGCCATTCAACCTAAAATTCATGTTAAACAAACTGAGCAGGGGTAGGGACCGACAATTAAGCCAATAGACGAGAAAGGCAATTTCAAATTTATAATTTTATGATTGCGACTAGTATATGCTAATCATCGCGTTAAACGCTATTCGGATTTTTAGAATTCAATCATGTATTGGCCATGGGTAAGAAAACAATTCTAATCGACTTGCAACTTCAAGAACCAATGTCATTCGACTAGACTGTTGAGAAGTAGCTCCCCAAAAAGGGGACTAGCTAGGGATTCGCCCCTGGATATGTTTTAAAATTTACATTATTATATTCCATATGGTGCATTCTAAGCATTTCAGACTTTTTAATGTTTTTTTCATCTTATACAAAATTGTTTTTTCCTTTTTTGTATTGGTTGGGAGGGGATCGCACCCCCCCCCCCCCTCCTGGCTACTCCAATGGTAGTATGCATCATTGTACATTAGCTAATTATCATGTTCTACCTGGTGCGATAGAGGTGATACCTGGTCATTGGTCCCCACGTACCTGGTTATAAAAACGTGACGTCTTTATAACAAAATGGATAAACTTCCGTCGGAGGATATTTTATTTCCATCATTTTGAAAAACAAACATGTTGATTTTGTATCCAATTCTTTTTTCTCGTATGTTAATAGTAATGTTCGATTACTCAGATAAGCTAGTCAGTCACCCGGGCCAGTCACGAGCAAATATATCCAGATTTATCAAATCATCGAGTGAGAAATACCCATGGGCTCTATCAGTGGTAGAGCCCATGAAATACCTCACTTCAGTAACAGGACGACGTTATCTGGTGATTTTTAAAGACTTTGCTGATTGTGTTAAGGTCCTTGGATGTACATACCCGTGGCTGATTCGCATTTTAGTAACTGGGTGTTACTACTAACATACTTGTAAAATGTTTGGACACAAATCGGCTTCCTTCTTGGTGAAAATTGTGGCAACAAATGTCCTCCGACATAAGTTGTTCATTCATTTTTTATTATAACGATGTAATGTCTTTGTAACCAAGTGGGGACGCTTGATAGCACTCCAGTCAGAGGTTCAAAATACAATGGACACTTACACTCTACTATACCTAACCCCTTGAAATGCATAAGATACTCTGTCTCTCCAATTGTATTGTTTAGTATATATTTTTGAAAGTACCTTATTAACATCTAACAGTCATCCAATAAGCCATTCATAAGCAGCAGACACATAAAAACAAATAACATAATCATTACTAATAAGCCAAATGGGTTGCTCATGAACACCCAATGTAAGGTACAGTAGAGTGACTTACTTTGCATATGCCTTTTCCAAAAGTGGAGTCCAAAATTCATTTTTGTCATCAGAATGCATGTAGATCAGTTTTCCATTAGAACAAGGTAGTCTGTCGTCGATAATAACTTCAATCCACCGACCATATTGCCAAAAATGGAAGCGGAAGATTCCTGAAAAGATGAAATACAAATGAGGTTGCTAATATCTAAGAATAACTAATAGAGCCAGGGCTTAGACTAGGATATCGTGTGCAACCTTCGTAAGGTATGACAAAAACACCGTTATTTAATAGAATCCTTGCAGTTTGAGTGGTCCATGAGTGTTCATACTTTTGGACGTATCATTTCTCTTAAAGAAACTACATGGATATACTTTTTACTAGAAAACGATTTCGATGAATAAAGTCTCTGAACATTTTTTGAATTGTTGAGCGTAAGCGTAAATATATATTTGAAAGGGAAATGATATGTTTTCATAAATTTTAGGTGACAATTGATAAATATTGATTAAAAGGCTCATTCATTGTACTACAGGGTGACATAAAAATGCCATCCACTTATTTTGGAATAACTTTCTCAATTATTGAGGAATCTTTGTGATCTTTCTTGTGTACATAGAGTGTTCAAGAGAAAAGATTATTGTACTTGAACAGTATCAACAACTTTGGGATTCAGAGATATTATAATTTCCGTCCAGGCATACTCTCGGTGAAATCGTCAAAAATGTTAAAAATACAGTTTCTTTTAAATCTGGGATTTCTATTTTACCCATTATTTGATTCATTTCTGGATTGCTTTCACTAGCTTACTAATATACATTATCGATAATATGTCACATTTACCAATTTTTCCTAAATCAATTTTTCGCTTATTGGGTAAATATTAGGAAAGACAGATTTTCTAATTTACATTTTTGAATGATTTTGTGTCAGAGCATGCCTCCGCGGAAAATGAGATATCTCTTAATTTTAAGATTGTTGATGCTATGCAAGCATATCAATCTTTTCTCCATTGAACACTCTATCCACACATGAAAAATCACAAAGATTCCTTAAATTATTGAGAAAGGTATTCTAAAATAAATGGGGGGCATTTTTATTCGTCAGAAATAAGTTTGAAATGAGTTAATTGTAATTCCATAAAGCAACTCTCTAGTGAACAAATAGCTAATTAGGCACAATTGTAATTGTATTTCTCATTAAAGAACTTTGAAGATATCGAAAAAACTACAAAATAAATTGAACTAAAAGAAATTGAAACCAGCAGGAGCTAGACTATTTATGGACAAACCCGCGTAGTCTCCGTCATCAAACGTTTGATCATTCGGCACAACCTTGTACAACAGTGGTTTGCGTTGGGCAAGGGATGCCACAGCCGCTAACAGCCAACAGTCTCCAAGGATTCCTTGATTAACGTCCAGTCGTGACGCCCCTTCGACAAACATTTGTGGGTCATCACAAATTTCCTGATAAAATACATTTGACATTTTGGATATAACAATAGCAATTGCGAACCAACGAAGGACCGAGAGCAGGATAGATCCATCCCCATTACAATGCCCAGACTTAACTCCACAGAACAAAAGATGGCGAAGGTGGAAATTAAGACCCAGAATGTGAATGGTATGGATTACGATACCTCATATTTTGTTAAGGCCCGTTATATACAAAAACAGGTCTAACAAGATAGGTATTTGACCTTTTTGTTAGATTTAGATAAATAATGTGTACAAATATAATTAAATGTAAATGTGATTGTCGATATGTCATCAAAACCTTACTAAAGGTGGGTGTTTAGCTATGTTAATATTAATATCGCATTTATTACTAACTAATACCATTTTCATTATCACTCAATCTCTTTGATAAGGACTTACCTTTGGTCTCAACCACTCAATGTTGTAGGCTTGTGGGGGATTCTCGTGATATAGAGATCTTTCATCGGCTGGGAAATCGGGATCATCCCATAAGCAACCTGAAATAAAGTAGATTAATAAAGAAAAGGCATAGAGTCTTTGTTAATTTACTACTTTGTCCAAAGACGAAGGTGCTGACAATGTGCTTGGCTGATAGCCAATCATTCAATTTTCCGAATATTTCTGGTGTATTTTAAAAAAGTTTTCGTTAATTCCATCTACTGTTGTCAAATCTTTGCAAAGTAGGTCAACTTGATTTAGTGCTTGGTTTATGAACTTCTTGCGGTCAATAATATCAACATGACTAGCTGATGTGTGTCAACAAATTAAAAACATTATATTGTGACACCCTCAACTGGGCTTCACATTAATTTACATCAACCAAAATATAAATACTATAAAGATTCTAAAAATTGATTTATTTGGCAACTAATAAACAAAGTTCTTGACCATTGGCATTATCAGAAAGGTTAAACTGTTAAAAGATGATATGCTGACTTATTTGCCAATCGATTTAACGTAATGTAATGTCAACCTTCTTCAAGACATTTTGCTTTGATTTCAGCATATCCGTCTCCAGCTACTTCTCTAGACTGCGGTTGGTCAGGTTCCACAGGGGCTGGTGGTTCCTGGGGTCTAGTAAACCTAGATGTTGGCCTTGAAGGTCCTATATCTCGTATGGTTGTCCTAGGTTTGTCCCATGGATTCGCAAATGGGTCACCAAAGCCTAAATTACGGAAGAACCCAGATACTGCGCCTGGGAATCCTCCGTCGTCTTGGTTGGCAGAACTTCCTCCCCAACCGCGATTGTAACGTCGGCGGGTGTCAAAGAACATGTCCTTTTAATTTGTCGAATGGAACGCAGGCAATCCTAGAGGCAACCACACCTTCCAACCTATCCGCGCGTCTCTACTAGTATTTCAGGTCACTTTCGTTTAGCCTATCCTATTGGTTCTTAGTTTTATCGACAAACAAAGTATAAATATCCAGGTGGCTAAAATATATTTTCGTAGTAAATTTCAACCTAAAGTTGTTAATGCATATTACCAGATACAAAATTCTATTTACCGTGGATATAATTCTATAGTCAAGTGTATGACAAACACGAGTAAGGTCAACATTGGTCAATTTATGTGATAATTTTCTGTTCTGTAAATGATAAACAATCGCATTTGCATAGTTAACCATTAATGTTAATATACCATTACGTGGTATGCTGGTTTGGATTTTTTTATCATTCTATGTGAGTCGGATATACATACAGATCAGGCCAAATATAGCATTTTAGTAAGATCATGTTGACCTTTTAGACAATTTTTGAATTGAAGTTTTTGCTATGACACTTCAGAATAAATAACCTAGCTCTTGCGCTTTAACTGTTAAATTTAAAGATAAATACTGTACTGTAAAATTGAACGATTTAAAAATACGTGCAGGGGGCAGATTTTTCACCAAAAAAGTATTTGTAAGGTAATTGCCATAACAATACCAATGATCAGCAGTCAAAAGCTCTTGAAAAATCTAGAAAATTGAACTAACCTCTCCATTTCCATTAATTTATTCACAGGATTGGTAGCACCTGGTAGTGAACTGAACAAGATTTTCTCTTAAAACAGTCATCAAAAATTTCAAAAATAAGAAAGTGTCAATTTAATGGTCATCCTTTGAATAGTAACAATCTAATTTAAAAATTAAACATCTACATTTTTATATATTGTTTTAGAAAACAAATCAAACACTGTCTTTTGTTCTTTTCCGCCTGATGTTGGAAATGTTAACATTTTGATTAAAGTTCACAACTTTTTATATATTGTTTTAGAAAACAAATCAAACACTGTCTTTTGTTCTTTTCCGCCTGATGTTGGAAATGTTAACATTTTGATTAAAGTTCACAACTTTAAGACACGCTTTTTGTAAGTTGCTGTCTATATGATTCACCTGTACTGGTTGTGGGATTTTAGCAGTCGATATGGACCCCTACATTTGCGATTAATTAAAGGAAAATGGGAATATCTGTCAGACATTTGAAGAACAAAAAGATGAGCAAATATAATGTCAGATACGAAATGCATTGTACGTGGTACTTAGAGGTGGACTTTACGAGCATAATTTATCTTAAAGCAGACCTTCTTCATTACATCATATCCTTTGCCGATAAAGTTTAAAATTAATGTTGATTTATCAATTAACCGTATAAGTGGGTAGCTGGTTGCTGCACGTTTTACGTTTTAAGAGAACTTCTACTTGATTGGATGTATAGAATTATGGTCATCTAGGGATAAGTTCTTCCCTTCGTTGTATTTCTATACCTGCCAAATTAAGTTTAAAAGAATGAGGAAACAGTTATAATGTGGTCGCTGGAAAACCGATTCAGAGGGGAACACTAATACCCGGGTGTATTCACCTACAAGTTATCTTTAAAACGTGTACCTTAACCTTCCATAATCTTCTAAAAACACCATACTGTCTGTTTATGCAAATGGTTGATCAGTGGAGGTCGTTCACACAAAAATAGAAGTATCTTTTGGGACTTGACGAAATGGACGACAAGATCCATATCCATGATAATAGTAAGGTTAATACTAAAGCTGAAATCGAAAGAAGAAACAATAAGAGACAAAGGTGTAATGACATGATGATTGATATTAAAGATGAAGTTCACGAGATGAGCGATCTCGAGCGAATCAATAATGATGATACAGTTGAAGCTATAGATGATACATCTGACACAATACTGACAGAAAGGCTCAAATGGATCACGACAATAGTGATGTATTTTGCTAGTTTTGGCTTGGTAAATATATTTTATAACATACATATCAGAAATTTAATTTGTGATTGATAATGTAAGATGATTGAAGCTTTGTTTGCATAAACATAACGTAATTATTGCTACTCATGGGTACGCGTATAGGCAGCCTAATTTTTTTTATCAAAGGGCAAAATAAACTTTATCTTAAATCAACCAAAGTTCACAAAAATATTCCTCATGAACTCAATACATGTGTATCTTATGGAGAAACTGAATATCTGTGAGAGGTTCTACATGAAATTCTTGGCAAAAATGAGAAAACTCGAAATCATTTGTAAAACTTAGACAACCCTACCCTGTATAATAATGCGATGAAGCACAATCGATTTAATGTTTTCAATGTTTCCACGAAAAACTATTATTTCATTTTCAGGGTATGTTATTGTCAGTTTTCGGGCCTACGTTATTGGATCTCAAAGACCAGCTTCAAGTTGATATCACACAGGTGTCTATTGCAATTACCATGTTAGCTGCCGGGTATCTGGTTGGGGCAATTATTGGTGGGTTCCTAACTGATCGGTACAATCCAGCGCTCGTTCTTGGAGTATTTATGATGATCAACATGGGCTTTCTTACCGTAATACCTTTCTTCCAACATCTTGGACCATTTCTCGCGTACTGGGCACTACTTGGATTTGGTGCATCTGTGTCCGACACTGGTAATTTTAGTCGAACTTTTTGTGTATAGTTGTAAATCGTGTAAATGCGTTGCTATTTAACACTGTTAGTCAGTGAGCCTAAGTTTTATAAAAATTGACAAAACATATTGTAAGTAACTCCGTTAGACTTCAGCTTTGTCAAGAACAGTAAATATTGTTTATGCTTTCCTCTGGATGAGTCGAAAATTGCACACTCTACAAAAAGTATACCCAACATCAACGCCAGATTACTAGAATCCAGAGTTATTTTTGGAAATTACAAAGGTAGTGTAGTAACACGCATTATAAGGCCTAAGATTTTCGACATCTAAAATGTCACTTGACTTTTTGGCAATTAAAAGTCCCTGCCTGCATTTAGTAGTCATATATTGTCATGTGCATAATTTTGAAGCCTTATCCTAATTATATCACAAACCTTTTGTTGATTCTGCAATAGTTTCCAATTTGTAAACAGCATTTAGCCTTTTTAATTGGGAACTTTTTTGAAATTTCCAAAATGGCTGCCATGTGATTTCAGAATTCACATGAGTGTGACGTGACATCACAGTTGCTCATTCCTAGGTAACAACAAGATCACAATTGTTCGTTTCTAGGTAGCAACAAGATTTTTGATTAAAATGGCACAAAATTGCCCTGATTAACACCCTTAAAATCCGATTTTCAAAGAATATATTTGGAGAAACAATAAAAGGTAAGTGGAATAGATTAGAAGATGGTTTCAAGTTACCACAGAAGTCAATTTGAAACTCAAGAATGCTTTCTTTGACTCATAATCACAAAAAAGTCGAGTGACATTTTAAATGTTGAAGAGCTTAGTTTTTCCTCCATCAAATGTTACCTTGATCATTATTGGCATGGATGACTGAGCAACCGTGACCATTGCGAAAGGTGGTAAAATCAACACTTGCATTCAAAGTGGGATTAACGCAGTGAATTTTTTTTGCGTTCAAAAATGTTCAAGTTCAAACTTGTTTCATGTTCTTCATACTTTTGCATACTTCTACTACTACTCTACTCATACTATTATATTCACCATATTGTCCTTTTTGCAATTGTTGATACCTCCCACTCAGGAAATTGGTTCCCAAAACCCTCTTAAACAGCAATGAAACTTCTGGGTTGATATGCTTTGACCACAATATTGGTCCTCTGCTCAAGTGTCAGTAGAACCATGTTTGAAGGCCTATTCCATAGTAAGTTATGCATTTTTTTCAAACCGTTTCAGCTGAAAATATACGTAGCCAGTTACACATCGATTGCCACACAGGAAAACAACTTGGCACAGCACTAATTTTACCACCTCTCATAATGGTCGAGATTGCTCAGTTTGACAATTATATAATGATCGAGGTAAAATTTGATGGAGAACAAATTAGGCTTTTGCTGTGCTACCTTTGTTTTTTCAAAAAATGCTCAGGATGCTAGAAATCTGGCTTTGAACTTGGGTTGAAAGTCTTGGCGAAAGTCTTTAGCCATCAACTTAATTTTGTGTACAGTCTATATTTTAGATACAAACGCATGTAACAATATTTATTTCAGTGATGGTTGTGTTTTTGATAGCCATATGGGGTAGAAAATCTAGTCCATTCGTGCAGTTTCTATTCTTCGCAATGGGTGTAGGAACTTGTATATCTCCTCTCTTGGCAAACCTGTTCGTCACGCCAACAGAATCTGGAAAATCCGGAAATGACACAATAGTATTTGAAATTAGTTTTGACAATGTAACTGCTCCATTAACAATGGCGACTGCAGAGACTGCCTTTCCAATAAGAGGAAGAGAACTAAGAATGGAGACCGATGCTAAATATGTTTACGTGATTATAGGCAGTTATCTTGGATTAATAGGTTTGCTTTTCTGTGGCATTGCGATAAAATTCGGATCAATTTATGCCGTGAGACCAGGCGTGAGACATGATGTCAACACCGTCAATAATGATGATGGATTGATGATTCCAACTTGGAACCAAATGAATAAACGCTATGGGATAAAAATGTTGATCTTTGTGTTCCTGATTTATTTTGCATATGGGGGATTCCACATTACAATAAGTGGACTTGTGACGACCTTTGCCATTCACGGTCTCCATTGGACCAAGGATCACGGAACAATTATAGCTTCGGTTTATGGTGGTGCAGTTACTCTTTCATGCGTTCTGGGTGTATTTGCAACCAAGATATTGTCGCTATCACAAATGATTTCAATTCAGATATTGACAATAATTTTGTCAATGATCATCATGGTAGCATTCGTACAATTACACGCGTCTGTACTTTGGGTGACAATTATTTTAGCTGGATTAGCATCTGGTAGCCTGAATGCAACGATATATTCCTGGTTTCAAACTAACGTGATGCAGATAACTGGGATAGTTGCGAGCAGCAGTATCATAGGAAAATCATTGAGTGCGATGAGTGTGCCCTTAGTGGCTGCTGCCCTTATGGAAAACGTACATTATATGTGTTTTTCATACCTGATATTAGGTATTGTGGTTCTGCTAGGAGTAGTAGCCATATGTATCTATGTATGTTTTAAGATTTATACGAAAAGGCAATTCTAGCATGCATCTATTTTTGCTTTGAATCAGAACCAAATATGTCAGCCGGCAAATGCCTCAAATCTTATTTGCATTCCCCATTCATACGTCATGTGATCTATACTCAGAATGAGGCTTTCCTCCCAAAGAAAAGCGGTGGTGGAATTCCATAGCATATTTTGATGATGCCATCCCAGGTCAGTTTTCAACCTTCAAAGTGGAGGGATTCAAAACATTTTCAAGTAATAAACTTCAATTCAAATTGAGAAATTGTATATCTGGGCCTATATCCCTTAACTGGCCAATGCTATCAGTGATGTAGATTTCTGGAATCCATATACTGTCGTCTATTCCAATAAACTAATACAAACGTCATACAGTATTTTGATGTGATGAATGTATGAATGTGATAAACATGTGCTTTACAAAGTTGCTACTGTTATACGTGGATTAATGCTCATTTAATAACACGTAGTTAACAAGAGATGAAACAATGCAATACAGTTTTTATTACAGGTCGTGTAGTCCATTGTTGCTTGATTTATAGCAAAAACTTTGACTTTTGCACGTTGGTTGCGTTGCGCCTTTTTTAATAGATCTTATATCTTAAAAGAGTATCGGTTGAAAAATAATCCTAGAATACCTAACATATTTTATCATACCGTGCGCTTATTCAATTTGCAATTCAATCATAAACTCTGTCTTGAAAAAATAATTTTACCAGACTTGTTGAATTTTCTAGCGGAAATTGCCTGCTCCCCCCCCCTCCGTCCCATTTTCACGATCACCGGGCGTGTATAAGTGAATATGACTCAATGCTATACATGTTCCGGGCCTATGCCTAGTATAGTCCCGCAGGACGAAGAAGATAGAATGTAAAAATCAAATTGAAAATCAAAATAATCGAACGAAAAAAAATTGAAAAAGTTGAAAATTCGATTTCGATTCAATTTGATTTTCTGCCATTATAAATGAAATACTGTACTTACCAACATGTTTCTCGGATATATATGTTGTTCTTACTTTATCTTCGCCGAAGATCGATGTTTATTTATATATAACAATCGAATAATTGACATAATTCAAACTCATCACTACGACACCCGGGCTCCATTTAATTCAACACGCACTTAAGACGGGCCCCTTGGACCAAGCCTAGCTAAAATATATCACTTGAGTTTTTCGTAATAGGTAGTTTCTGATCGAATTTTTGTCAAATCAAAAAAATAAATTACTCGGCAATAGGTTATTAAGATGAATATTGGCGAGAGGTGTACACTGACAAAGAATGGTTGAAATAACTCCATAAACGTCAAAGATCTAGGAAAAAACCGATGAAAATCTCCCCTAAAAAGGACCCCTTCGAAAATGGCATTCTCCATTTAAGGGCAAAAAGGCGGAGTTATAAGCGGACTGACACTTTCCTTAAATGGAGATGTCTCGATGGATCTCGCTTAAACTCCGCCCCTACTTCGTGAAAAATCACGTGAATTCCGGCTTTTGCTGGGGCATATCCGGGCATCTCGGCTTCGAACCCAATCAGAAGTTTCAATTTTGACTGGCGCCGCATACATTATCTCAAGTCTCACCCAATATTTTTATGTATACGTTAAAAAGGCCAATAAATCGCTAAATGATTAGCTTAGTATGGTAAAATCTGTTTGGTATCTTATGATTTTTTGAAGCAGGTCCGTAGGCAGGGGAAGCTAAGGGAGCTTTTATTTCAAAAGCATACAATTTTTCAATATTCTACTGAACACTTTTCGCAGGATTTTTAGCCAAAACTGTCAAAAAGCACACCCCCTTCAAACCCCCCCCCCCTTGTAAAAGCTGTCTACGGGCAGTGATACGCTTTGAAAGATGTGGGATCTATCTAAAAAGGCGCAACATCACCAGCATGTAAATACGTATCATCTTTTTGATATAAATAAAGGAACACGACATGTAATAAATACTTATAGGCGAGGTCATTGTCGCAAAATGTATGTTGTTGCTGTTTAAATGAGTTACAAAACGTTATGAAAATAATATGGGGAGTAACGTGGGGGAATGCGTGGGCATGGGGTTTTCTGATTTTTTAAAAACTCGTTTCTTAGACTTCTACAGTTTTTGTTTGAATGCACGTTCACCTTGTAGCACCTTGAGACCCCTGTACTTATATCAGAGGTATTATAGACTTTGAACCTCTCGTCTATTTATTACCTTATCAAAAAAGAAACTCTATTAAGACTGATAGAATTAACAAGCAAAAAAACAAGAATGGACCAGATCCGAGATGACAGAGGCCACGAATTGAGCGTGATGAAGCCTGGAACTGATGATATTCTTCTCGGTGCTAGGGCTGGCACATCTGAATCTATCCTGACCTATAAGCTTAAATGGATTACGACAATATTTCTGTATTTTGCTAGCCTTGGTTTGGTAAAAAAGATTACATATATTTATTTTGTAGGTTCATCTTGACACATGTATTTTATGTTGTATGTAAATCAACTGTACTTTCACCTTTTGGATTTAATTAAATGAATGAATTAAACTTTTATTTTAAATCAATCTTTCTTGAAGATTATCTGAGGTAATATGAGAACTTTACCAAATGCTCCATTTTCATTCGTGGCCATTTTGATACGAGGCAACACCTCCTTCGTTTCCCGTTCATCCCCAGTGATATGACTCAATTTAGTTAATTGCACGTATTTCATTGGATGTAATGTGTATATTATATTTCAGGGTATGTTATTGTCGGCTTTCGGGCCTACTTTGTTGGATCTAAAAGACCAGCTTCAAGTTGGTATCACACAGGTTTCCATTGCAATTACCATGTTAGCAGCCGGGTACCTGTTTGGCGCAATTATTGGTGGACTCCTAGCCGATCGCTACAACCAAGCACTTGTTATGTGGATTTTTTTGACAAGCACCATGGGTCTTTTTATTGTTATACCTTTCAATCAAAACCTTGCGCCTTTTCTCGTGTGCTGGGGATTACTAGGAGTAAGTGCATCGATCACCGACACTGGTAATTTTGGCTTGAAAAATACGTTGTTAAAACTAAAAATGTAGTCATTAATGTTTATCCCCTTAACTGTAGTTAGTAAAATATCCATTAAAGTCTCACATCGTTTACATTTAACATACTAAAATATTATACAGTAACAACAGTCCCGCTGGCTTCGGCGTATGAAAGACGCAAAAGGATATAGTCAAAATATATCAAAATATATATAAACCGTGTCTTATGATCTTTGGCAATAAATGTTTCTTTCAATTGTTTCAGTTCTGTTCTTATGTTTCTAATCTCATCTTGTACAATCAGGTCTTCTGCTCCATTAGACTGCAGTGTTGTACCCGACCGTAGCACATCAGCCTATATTATGATAAATGCTGAATCTATCGTGACAGTGACGATAGATGTTAATTGTTTTTTTAGTGATGGTTGTGTTTTTGATAGCAATATGGGGAAGAAAGGGACCTCCATTCGTGCAGTTTCTATTTTTCGCAATGGGTGTAGGGACGTGTATATCCCCTCTCTTGGCAAACCTTTTCGTCACACAAGAAGAACCTAGGTACGGGAGAAATGATACGACATCCGTCATCGGTGTCGGGAATGAAAGTACCTCATTGGCTGTGACTACCCGGACTACATTTCCATCAGGAAAAAGTGAAAGTATAACGGAGTCCAATGTAAGATATGTTTACGTAATAATTGGTGCGTATTTTGGAATTGTGGCTTTGCTCTTCTGTGGCATGGCGATCAAATTAAGAACACTTCATGCCGTGAGACAAGATACCAGCAACGATGTCAACAAAGATGGGTCTAAAATTCCAACTTGGACACAAATGAATAAAAGTTATAGGATAAAAATGTTGATCTTTGTGTTCTTGATTTATTTTGCACATGGGGGATTCCACATTACAATTAATGGACTTGTGACGACCTTTGCCATTCAAGGTCTCCATTGGACCAAGGATCACGGAACAATTATAGCTTCGGTTTATGGTGGTACAGTTACTCTTTCATGCGTTCTGGGTGTATTTACGACTAAGATTTTGTCGCTATCACAAATGATTTCAATACAGATATTGACGATTCTATTGTCAATGATCACAATGGTAGCATTCGTACAATTACACGCGTCTGTACTTTGGGTGACAATTATTTTAGCAGGATTAGCAGCTGGTAGCATGAAGGCAACGATATACTCCTGGTTTCAAACTAACGTGATGCAGGTAACTGGGATAGTTGCGAGTATCAGCATCATAGGAAAAGCATCGAGTGCGATGAGTGTGCCCTTATTGACAGCCGCGCTCGTGGAAAACGTTCATTACATGTGTTTTTCATACCTGTTATTAGGTAATGCAGTGCTGCTAGGAGTTGTAGCCATATGCATCTATATAGTTTTTAAGATTCACACGAACAGAAAAGTCTAATTAAACCGGTATTTACTTTACCTTGAATAAGCACAGGATATTCTAGCCGATGAACTGGAGCATTTTTATATTCGTGGGCCACTATCCCCATAGAGGTCCATAGTATATTCTTACGTTTGTAGTAAAACCATTTTAGTACCACCAGTCACATCAAATGCGTATCTATCATTGCCTTAAGAAAGTACAGTTGCCAGATAGAATGCCATGCGTTATTCCGGGGCCTTTCATTTTGGTCCTGGCTAGCTCCCTTGATGATCCACAATACCATATAAGGAATGGGGAATCCTTGAATTCATATCCTAAGAAACGTTTTAGTTTTTAATGTGATGTGTGTATCTGATGAAAACATGCTTTACAACATTGTAAATACTGTGGCTAGCCTGGATTAATCCAAACACATTTGTGATGATTGTCAGATAAATCACTGATACTCACCTAGTTACGCTGACGATACACCCAACTAATACAACGCAATGTAATACAATAATATTGTATACAATAAATACAGGTTGGGCCAATAAAAACTGGAACATTTTTCTGTTAATTCTAAATCTTTATTTTTGCAGTTCAATCCACAAAAATTCAGATACTGGTTAAATGATTATTTGTGAAAATGTATGATTAATTTTGGCTTGTCATGGTCATGATCTATATACTGTGTGCGTCATGAAAAATTTCCAAATTTTCTCTGCGTGAGACATCATTACTGAAAATACAGTAATCTTTTCAACTTTTTATAATCAGAGATATCTATTTAAATTCAGGGTGAAATTATAGTAAATTTCGTTTCTTCCTCAACTAAAATATTTAGAAAACATGATAAGCGATTTGCGTGGGTCTAAACTATTAGGCAATAAGATTAGGGTCAGACAGTAATTATAAATGCTTAATCGACGCAGTATGCCCTTTCGCTTGATATACTGCAAGCCCTTGACTCAGTGCAATGCGGAAAGACCACTTTTCGCAGGATTTTTAGCCAAAACTGTCAAAAAGTACACCCCTTCAAAGCCCCCCCCCCCTTCTTGTAAAAGCTGTCTACGGGCAGTGATACGTTTTAAAAGATGTGGGATCTATCTAAAAAAGGCGCAACGTCACCAGCATGTAAATATCATCTTTTTGATATAAATAAAGGAACACGACATGTAATAAATACTTATAGGCGAGGTCATTGTCGATGTTGTTGCTGTTTAAATGAGTTACAAAACGTTATGAAAATAATATCGGGAGTAACGTGGGGGAATGCGTGGGCATGGGGTTTTTGATTTTTAAAACTCGTTTCTTAGACTTCTCAGGCCCGTAGCCAGGATTTGCCAAGGGGGGGGGGGTTCAATTTTGTTTATTATATATATCAATGACATTATATGTTCAAGTTCTTTGTTAAAATATGTAGTTTTTGCAGATGATACAAACATCTTGTATTCTGATAAGAACATAGATAATTTGATAACTAAATTAAACTGTGAACTGTATAAAATTGATGATTGGTTTTGTGCTAATAAGCTATCTCTTAACGTACAGAAGACAAAATTTATGATATATACAACCGTTACCTGCAAACATAAAGTTCCACAAAATATTGAGATCAAAATAAGAAATAATTTAGTAGAGAGAGTACAATCATTCAACTTCTTAGGGATAATTATTGATGAGGATTTAAACTGGAAGGAACATATAAAAAAAATATCGCTTAAAATATCAAAAATCATCGGGATACTATTTAAAAGTAGACATAAACTAAATACAAAAACACTTCTATCAATTTACTATTCACTTATATATTCTCAAATTCAATACTGTATATGTGTTTGGGGAAATGCAGGCAAAACTGCAACGAATTCAATATTTCAACTACAAAAACGTTTTTTAAGAATTATTACTTACAGCGGAAATAGAGAACATACCGGGCCATTCTTTAAACAATTCAAAATTCTAAAATTTACTGACATATATGACCTTAATATTCTGCAACTAACTTACAAATGTATTAACAGACCCGATTCTTTTCCAAGTGACATTTTTATTGACTTCTTTGGAAAAAACAATAGTGTTCATCAACACAACACTAGACAGAATGAACAAGTTCATGTAACAAAATTCAAAACCAATTATTTAAGATACAGTTTTAAAGTACAAGGTGAAATTATCTGGAATAAAATTCCTAATACTATTAAACTTACCAATAATATTTATAAACTAAAACGTCTTTTTAAAGATGACACTTTTTCAAAATACTGATTTTGATGTTCTGCAAACATAAGGTAATTCCATCCTCTTTATTGTACATTATTTTTTACCAATGTTTTTAATTCATGAGACAAATTATGGTTCACCCAGTGTCATGTTGTGTTAAACTTTCAAGCACTTGAAAATTTTAGAATAATGATTTTAAATGTGGTCAATTATATACCTATGTAGGTGTCACGACCACGAATATGTAAAAAAAATTTCAAAATTTCCAGGGGGGTTCACATTTGACAATTTTGGCCCAAATTAGGCTAAAATCACTTGAGAATTGCTCAAAATGGTCAAAAACTGCATGATTTTGAAAGAATTTTTGGCCAGGGGGGGGGTTCGCCCGAACCCTGCGAACCCCCCTGGCTACGGGCCTGCTTCTACAGTTTTTGTTTGAATGCACGTTCACCTTGTAGCACCTTGAGACCCCTGTACTTATAGTACTATCTTTAATTAGATATCTTACCTCAGCTGTCCCTTGTACCATATGAGGTATTATAGACTTTGAACCTCTCGTCTATTTATTATCTAATCAAAAAAGAAACTCTATTAAGACTGACAAAAAAACAAGAATGGACCAGATCCGAGATGACAGAGGCCACGAATTGAGCGTGATGAAGCCTGGAACTGATGGTATTCTTCTCGGTGCTAGGGCTGGTACATCTGAATCTATCCTGACCTATAAGCTTAAATGGATTACGACAATATTTCTGTATTTTGCTAGCCTTGGTTTGGTAAAAAATTACATATATTTATTTTGAAGGTTCATCTTGACACATGTATTTTATGTTGTATGTAAATCAACTGTACTTTCACCTTTTGGATTTAATTAAATGAATGAATTAAACTTTTATTTTAAATCAATTTTTCTTGAAGATTATCTGAGGTAATATGCAAATGCTCCATTTTCATTCGTAGCCATTTTGATACGAGGCAACACCTCCTTCGTTTCCCGTTCATCCCCAGTGATATGACTCAATTTAGTTAATTGCACGTACATATATGTATTTCATTGGATGTAATGTAATTTCAGGGTATGTTATTGTCGGCTTTCGGGCCTACTTTGTTGGATCTAAAAGACCAGCTTCAAGTTGGTATCACACAGGTTTCCATTGCAATTACCATGTTAGCAGCCGGGTACCTGTTTGGCGCAATTATTGGTGGACTCCTAGCCAATCGCTACAACCAAGCACTTGTTATGTGGATTTTTTTGACAAGCAACATGGGTCTTTTTATTGTTATACCTTTCAATCAAAACCTTGCGCCTTTTCTCGTGTGCTGGGGATTACTAGGAGTAAGTGCATCGATCACCGACACTGGTAATTTTGGCTTGAAAAATACGTTGTTAAAACTAAAAATGTAGTCATTAATGTTTATCCCCTTAACAGTAGTTAGTAAAATATCCATTAAAGTCTCACATCGTTTACATTTAACATACTAAAATATTATACAGTAACAACAGCCCCGCCGGCTTCGGCGTATGAAAGACGCAAAAGGATATAGTCAAAATATATCAAAATATATATAAACCGTGTCTTATGATCTTTGGCAATAAATGTTTCTTTCAATTGCTTCAGTTCTGTTCTTATGTTTCTAATTTCATCTTGTACAATCAGGTCTTCTACTCCATTAGACTGCAGTGTTGTACCCGACCGTAGCACATCAGCCTATATTATGATAAATGCTGAATCGATCGTGACAGTGACGATAGATGTTAATTGTTTTTTAGTGATGGTTGTGTTTTTGATACGTAGCAATATGGGGAAGAAAGGGACCTCCATTCGTGCAGTTTCTATTTTTCGCAATGGGTGTAGGGACGTGTATATCCCCTCTCTTGGCAAACCTTTTCGTCACACAAGAAGAACCTAGGTACGGGAGAAATGATACGACATCCGACATCGGTGTCGGGAATGAAAGTACCTCATTGGCTGTGACTACGCGGACTACATTTCCATCAGGAAAAAGTGAAAGTATAACGGAGTCCAATGTAAGATATGTTTACGTAATAATTGGTGCGTATTTTGGAATTGTTGCTTTGCTCTTCTGTGGCATGGCGATCAAATTAAGAACACTTCATGCCGTGAGACAAGATACCAGCAACGACGTCAACAAAGATGGGTCTAAAATTCCAACTTGGACACAAATGAATAAAAGTTATAGGATCAAAATGTTGATCTTTGTGTTCCTGATTTATTTTGCATATGGGGGATTCCACATTGCAATAGGTGGACTTGTGACGACCTTTGCCATTCAAGGTCTCCATTGGACCAAGGATCACGGAACAATTATAGCTTCGGTTTACGGTGGTGCAGTTACCCTTTCATGCATTATAGGTGTATTTGCGACTAAGATTTTGTCGCTATCACAAATGATTTCAATACAGATATTGACGATTCTATTGTCAATGATCACAATGGTAGCATTCGTACAATTACACGCGTCTGTACTTTGGGTGACAATTATTTTAGCAGGATTAGCATCTGGTAGCCTGAATGCAACGATATACTCCTGGTTTCAAACTAACGTGATGCAGGTAACTGGGATAGTTGCGAGTATCAGTACCATGGGAAAATCATCGAGTGCGATGAGTGTGCCCTTATTGACAGCCGCGCTCGTGGAAAACGTTCATTACATGTGTTTTTCATACCTGTTATTAGGTATTGTGGTTCTGCTAGGAGTTGTAGCCATATGCATCTATATAGTTTTTAAGATTCACACGAATAGAAAAGTCTAGTTAAACCGGTATTTACTTTACCTTGAATAAGCACATGATATGCTAGCCGATGAACTAGAGCATTTTTATATTCGTGGGCCACTATCCCCATAGAGGTCCATAGTATATTCTTACGTTTGTAGTAAAACCATTTTAGTACCACCAGTCACATCAAATGCGTATCTATCATTGCCTTAAGAAAGTACAGTTGCCAGATTGAATGCCATGCGTTATTCCGGGGCCTTTCATTTTGGTCCTGGCTAGCTCCCTTGATGATCCACAATACCATATAAGGAATGGGGAATCCTTGAATTCATATCCTAAGAAACGTTTTAGTTTTTAATGTGATGTGTGTATATGATGAAAACATGCTTTACAACATTGTAAATACTGTGGCTAGCCTGGATTAATCCAAACACATTTGTGATGATTGTCAGATAAATCACTGATACTCACCTAGTTACGCTGACGATACACCCAACTAATACAACGCAATGTCATACAATAATATTGTATACAATAAATACAGGTTGGGCCAATAAAAACTGGAACATTTTCAGGGGCGTAGGAAGGTGTAAATTCAACACTACGCCAAAAATCCCGCCAAAAATATGAAACAATTGTGTCAATATTCTATATCAAAACGCCTATTTTATGCTCGTAAAATGTCATTTTATGAAAACAGAGATTTTAAGCTTGCAATGTTTTTCACAACCTAAATGTGAACGGAAATACTAAAGCGATGCATTTGTATGGGCGATTGGTCATACGTATAGGTTGGCGTTTCGATTTTATATGCAAGCTTTAAATCCCTGATACCTTTTTAATGTGCTTTAAAATGTTCGAATGATTTTCATCTTTTAAATCTCGACACAAATCATTCTCACTTTGCTAATGTCTCGAACGATTGAGACGACCAATTTCCAAAACAATAAGAGATTTTTTAACAATTTTCGAATAATTGAATTTAGATATAAAGTATTGTTACACGTCGCACGATACTGGGGACAATTAGCGTAACATTATGGCGTCAAAAAAACAAAACAAAACAATGAGCAGTATAGGGCGCAAACAAGGAGGATTGGCTCCCAGAGTGCACCACCGATATTCTGTCCCATATATGGGTATGTCGTAATACAAAATTCGAATTCAAACAGCCGCCATTTTGTTCACTTCAACATTTAAATCGTGAATTTTGGTCTTATTTCCAAACGAAAAATTCCAAAACTCACAAGAAACGATCGAGATATTGGTTCGAATCTTTTGAACTGTTTATTTCAGAAAATAACGACATTTCGACGTTTTCATTGTTGGAAAATATCGAGTTTCGATCCTGGGAGCCAATCCTCCTTGGGGCGCAAACAGCCTTACAACGTCAAAAACGACAAGCGTCACATTTTTTACAAGTTTAGTCAACCTAAAAATAAAATACTTTATCCTTATCTAATCATTACAAAATTTACAGGGTAGCAAGATCTCGAGGACAGTATTTCTAAAATGTTTTTGAATTTTGAAAAACGGTCAAGAAATCCACTTGGGACGTTAGTAAAAATTGATATGTATGGAATTTGTGGTAAAAAATCGATGCGTCACATTTTTTCAAGTCTCGAAAACCAGCTCTTATTTTGATATTATTTGCAAAATAAACAAACCGGTTATTGTTTTGTAAATTTCGCCATGACAATATTGTGCAGTTAAATTTTCTTTCAAATCAGACCTAAATTAGAAGGTTAAATGAAGGTAAACTTATTGCTCGTCCCATTCGCCTTCAAAACCTTACACAATTTTGAAAATTTTAAAAGCGTTCGTATAAGATAATTTGAAATGTAGCCGTAAAGTAATTGTGACGTCATAAATGCAAATGTTCCATTGAATAAATTGTGAAATTTAAGTGGGATTTTGATCATTATTTGAAAAGTTATCTCAATTTAAACGAGCCCTGTAAGCGTAAAGTGTTACGTCTTACAGCGTATTTGACGATGTCGGAGTATATTTAACTTTAAAAATGTGTTGGATCCCATCAAAATTTTGAAGGAAAAATAATTTCATTGAAATGCAAATAAAAAATACTTCAAAATGATATGTAAAACGCATAGTTGGCTTTTTAAATAAGGCAGAGATTAACGTTCAAAGCTGAGATAAGCCCGCATTTCCCGAATTGTCCCCAGGTCCGTGCACGTCATATGTCTGATTCCATCGTGTACCGTGCAATACAGTACGTACAGATTAAAGAAACTAGTTTGATCAATTTGATATGAAGCTGAAACGCATTCGTGATCAATGAAACAAATAAACACCCCAACAACAAAGGTCAAATCGAGGTCAACGTGACTTAGGGGGTGCCAAAAATGTTATAAAACAAGAATCTGTTATTTTTCAAATGAAAAAAAACTAGGTAATCGCTTTTCTTGAACTGAAATCAATGAAACGTGTTAATTTAATAATCAGCATTTTCAAGTTGTTTTTTTCTTAAACATTCATATTTCAAGAAGTACTTCTAATAACAATTAGTGATTTAGTAAGAAAATAGATAATTGCTGACTTAACTATATTTCTGTCTATGATTTTGCATAGCAACGGAATATAAATCGATGTAGTGAAATTGAAAAATCGGGGTAGGGGAGAATAAAAAAATATACATCTTTTAAAGAGGTTCATCATTATAATCATATGATACCATAGTTTGCAAAAGCATTACGGAACATGCAGAAAAAATGAAAAAACAGCTTTTCTCTCAAATTCGTGAAGAGAACGCGATTCACGCATATTTGGCAAAATTGTATTTTACTTTTAATTCATAAGATCTCGATTTTCATGAAATAAAGCATGTTGGTAAGGGAATTCAATCTGTTAAATGATATTTGCCAGACAGACCAATAATGATATGGTATCCACAAAATATTTCTTTAGGCTAGTGTGCTCGAGATTACTTTTACAATTTATGAACAATGAGAAAATATGACTAAAGAACATAGGAACATTTTTATTCTCACTTTTCAACACTACGCACTGGCGTTTTGGCGTACATTGTTCCTACGCCACTGATTTTTCTGTTAATTCTAAATCTTTATTTTTGCAGTTCAATCCACAAAAATTCAGATACTGGTTAAATGATTATTTGTGAAAATGTATGATTAATTTTGGCTTGTCATGGTCATGATCTATATACTGTGTGCGTCATGAAAAATTTCCAAATTTTCTCTGCGTGAGACATCATTACTGAAAATACAGTAATCTTTTCAACTTTTTATAATCAGAGATATCTATTTAAATTCAGGGTGAAATTATAGTAAATTTCGTTTCTTCCTCAACTAAAATATTTAGAAAACATGATAAGCGATTTGCGTGGGTCTAAACTATTAGGCAATCAGATTAGGGTCAGACAGTAATTATAAATGCTTAATCGATGCAGTATGCCCTTTCGCTTGATATACTGCAAGCCCTTGACTCAGTGCAATGCGGAAAGACCCGATTCCTTGAAGGTGGTGCTTTACAAAATTTGCACGAAATACGTAGCATCGAGTGTTAATTTTTAGGAAACAAGGCCTAATAGGAATGGTCATAGTTCATAAGTCTTGGGCTTAAATTCTTTTCACATATTGCAAAATGTTTTCTACAAAATCATGTAAAAGATACGAAATCACTAAAAGAACATATCTTCAATGGAACCTTTTGCAAGTGTTAGTTGGCAAGTTATCAAATTCAATCTGAGGAGTCCAGTGATTTCTGGGTGATTTTCATACAAAATTGGAAACATTAAACAGAAATGTGCTCTCTAAACAAGCGGTGCGGATATCTGCGGATATCCAAAATGTGACGATATCCGCACCGCCTTTTTAGAGGTAGCACATATCCGATAAAAATCAAAAATTCACACAGGAAGTTTATGACTTTCAACATGCAAAGCAATTTAAATCGAGTGTTCATATCTTGACCACCAATATTGAGTGGAGGCTGTAAACAGTAATGAAGCAGCAATATCAATGTCTTTGCTATGGAGCAAGGATGTATGCTCAGTGCGTCGTTAAAGAATGAAGAATACCACTATAGACAAAATTTCCCTTTTATAAGGTATCCTCTACAAATGGATGACTATAATTGAACACCCAAGATGCCATAGTTTATGAAATATCATGAATTCAAATTCAAAAGTGACAGTTAATATCCACGCCTTGCGCAATTGATATCCGCACTGCTTGTTTTCGTATAGCACAGTCTGTATATGGTGTACTTTAGGAAATGAAAAAAGAGTTTGCGAAGAAAGTTATGTTAAAAATTTAACCTATAGGCATCTTTTAGTCACTCACTGTATGGCATGAACATGTTTCTATTACAACAAAATTATGGACAGCATCATATAGCATGTTTCCCTTTACATCAGTTCGACTACGCTTTATAAAGAGAGCTTCGTCTACTCTGCGTGCAGTGTAATAGTCTGTATATATAGTCTTAAAATGTCACACATAGGGAAAAAATAAATTAAGAAATTGTGCAAAGATAAGAGAGGCCGTGAACACTCGAGTATACAGAAATCAGGTCCTTTGCTAGTTTTTGCCAGGGGGTCACTTCCTACGGACTACGGGCCTTGAAATTAATACAAATACCGTAAGTGAATGCTCGGTGTTTTCATTTAAATTAACATAATGTCAAACAAAGTGTTCTACAAAGTTTAATCAGATAAAAAGTATACATTTGCCATAATTATGTCTCCTTAGAGTCATTTTGACATCATTAATAATTAAACTGGACCAAATGTCGAAAATAAAGTCAGACTGTTCGACTTTGACTGTCTGCATTGCACCGAGGCCCTCTATTTCTTTATATTGCGGGACGTTCAGAGCATGTTATTGCGTCAGTAAAACCTAAAAAAAAGAAATCAAAGGACCATTGTGCAATACCATTAAAAAATATATTCATATTTACAGTTCCACAAGTACATCAACAGGGGTATTGTCCAAAGAAATCCCATAATTAATATCTCAAAATTCAAAGTCAAATAGCCTCATGGGACCTTGTCCAATTTCTCCACATGAGATCTCGAGGAACCACACCAGAGGTGGATCCGGGATTTTGTGTTACGGGGGGGGGGCGTTCGATAACAACTGTGAGCGAAACGTATCGCGTGAGTGAGCGCGGCGAATGAGCGCGAGAATAGGGGGGGGGGGGGTCAGAAAATGTTGAAAATTAAACCTCATTTTGGTGCATTCTGACCAATTTCAGAGCTGAGGTCCAATACCCGGGTCTTATTTCATTTTATGCGATGCGTTATTGACAATCCATAACCATCTATTTTGATTTCCAGTTAAATTCTGACTTTTTAGGGGGGGGGTCTGCATCCGCCAGTACACACGAAGTTCCATTGTATATAACTTGGATCCCTCCATAAGTTTGGCAGCTTGAAGTTCCCCTTTTGGTTACTTCTCAAAACCTGTTTAATATATGTTTGTAAGAGTAGACTAGTGTGCCACAAGATCGATCATTTGTGTCGAGGATCTCGTAAATTCCCGAGTAAGCGACTTTTGGAACACTGAGGGGTATCTAATGGATTACAATACAAATATTTCATTCATTTCTTTCATTGAGATGAATACACGTGTATACGTATCTTTCAAAGCCCTAGGCTAGTATTATGTAAGTGGGTCCTGAACCTTTAGATCTAATAATTATATGTCGCTTCAACCATATATTTGTGTTCTTGTCAAGAACAGTTACTAGAATGACATGTTTTTAACATAAGAAGGTCAATAAAAGATATATGTCAAGTAGATATGTCTGTTCTCGTAAATGATATATCAGTGGAGGTCGTACATACAATAATCAGTAGGTCCTTTTTGTACTGAACGAAATGAACGACAAGAACCAAACTTGCAATGATTAGTGAGGTTAATACTAAAGCTGAAATCGAAAGAAGAAACAATAAGAGACAAAGCTGTAATGACACGATGATTGATATTAAAGATGAAGTTCACGAAATGAGCAATCTCGAGCGAATTAATGATGATGATACAGTTGAAGCTATAGATGATACATCTGACACAATACTGACAGAAAGGCTCAAATGGATCACGACAATAGTGATGTATTTTGGGAGCTTTGGCAGGGTAAATATACAAGGGTTATAATATACTATAACATAACGCAACCAAGACGTTATGAAACTCTGGTGGCTGAAGTGAGGGATTCTTACTCGATTATTGGAGCTGTTGGATATATTTCCTGTGACTAGCTTTTTAGTAGCCGTATACTATTAACATACGGGTAAAATATATGGATACAAAACGACCGCCTCTATGTTATAGCATTATCAGACCAATATAAGCTCCAATATCAGCCAATATCGCCAATATCAAAAATCAATCATAATTTGGCTTTTTCCTCATGTTCAGAATTCATGGGTTTATTTGACACTAGCCGCCTCACTAATGGGGTCAACATAAAAGTAGTATTGTATTATTACATTTTTCAGGGTATGTCAATGTCGACTTTTGGTCCTACGTTGTTGGATCTCAAAGACCAGCTTCAAGTTGATATCACACAGGTGTCTATTGCAATTACCATGTTAGCTGCCGGGTTCCTGCTTGGCTCGGTTATTAGCGGATTCCTAGCCGATCGCTACAATCAAGCACTAGTCATTGGGATTTTTATGACAAGCAGCATGGGTCTTTTTATTTCCATACCTTTCTACCAAAACCTAGCGCCCTTTCTCGTGTGCTACGGATTACTAGGAATCAGTTTATCGATCATTGAAAATGGTAATATTGTAGCTGAAAATAATTTATTTATGTCCTATCCACTGGGTCTAAACGTATTCAATATAAACGTATTCAAAAAGTTAATCAGCTCTAGAAATTGATATCCTCTATTATGTGTGCGAATTTGGAGAAAATCCGATGAGCGGTTTTCCTGAAATGGCGATGACAAGATTTATCTGAAAAACTTCAAAATGGTCGCCAGAAAACAAGATGGCAGCCCAAAAGTTAATAAGCTCTAGAACCTGATATCCTCTATCATGTGTGCGAATTTGAAGAATATTATTCCGATAAGCAGTTTTCTTGAATGGCGATGACAAGATTCGATAAGCGGTTTTCCTGAAATGGCGATGACAAGATTCATTGATAATCATTCAAAATGGCCGCCAGAAAAGAAAATGGCCGTCTTAAAGTTAATCAGCTCTAGAACTTGATATCGCCTGTCATGTGTGCAAATTTGGAAAAAACGGATGAGCGGTTTTCCTTACCTCATACCCACCTACCACCTACGTTGGACATGATACTATCATTGAAGGGTTCAATCTTAAAGATTATTAAATCTCAAAATAGCTCTAATTATTAACATTTCGGCTTTATTTTATGACTAGACGGATGACAGATCCGTAAATAAAGGCATATGGGTGCATCGTAATGTGTAATGACCAGAGGATGCCCCAGGGGAATAACTAACTAACGACCGCGAGCATAGGTCCAACAAGCCAGATAAAGAAATTGAAAGAAAGTGTGCTTAATTCGATGCCCCGAGTGGGAATCGATGCCCCGAGCTGGGCTGTAGTAGCAACTTGCTATCAAGGGTCGTTACAAATGCATCTATAATTCATCATAAACTAAGATTTAATAAACTAAGATCTTTAAAATTGAACCCTTCAAAGACTGTATCATGTCCAACCGTACGTGCGTTGGTAGGTGTGTATGAGGTAGGTTTTTTTAAACAAAGCCATGCAGAAAACAAGATGTGCGCCAAAAAGTTAATCAGTGTTAATGAGTGTATCGGGATGGATAATCAGCTCTGTATTTAGATCATATAAGCGCACGGGTAACTAGAGTATCCGCGTATATTGAGTATGACCGGTTCTTAGGCTACGAATATGACCTGTTTTGGAAAGTCATGAGAGGCACAGCTGCTTAAAAATGGAAAATAAAGGTTAACTTCTATATTATCCTTTTTGAAATTGTGTTTGTTGAATATAGTTTATGCTGTATTTAATAGTAATGTAACAAAAAAATGTTAAACATGAGCTATTTAAGCAATGTAACTGTTCATAATGGAATATCAATCAGAAAGTACAGATTTCTTGCCTTAGAGCCAAATCATTAATATCACAGTAGAAAAAAAACAAATCCCAAACCTTTTTATGGCTAACCTGAACAAGATCTCCAAATCTCAGTTTATATGATCCCCCGTACAGTGAGCAAGAGAAGGATTTATCTTTTCCCAGAGGATACGCTTGTGAAATGTCATGGAAACGAGTGTAACACGGCCCACTGATTGTTTCACAACCGTATTCTCCAATAATGGGGCACCAGTGACATTCGTATTCTCAAAAATTCAAAGATGTATCATATTTGGACAGAGCAGGCTAAATTATTTAAAATATTCATGACTAATTCGTAGATCTAGCTATATATTATACATAAGATGTGTCATCCTCTTCGGAGTTTCGTTGTGTTACACAAAAACTGATCAAAGATGCTGGAAACTAGGATTTTACGGCTTCAATCTAATATTAATACGTTTTCTCTTGATTAAGGCCCCTTGTGATATGCCTGGCATTATAAGTTTACCAAGTATCATTCATTGACCAAGTAGGATAAAAAGAAAACGTTCGAAAGTGTTCATAAAAAGCAAGTACTCACCTCGTCTGTTTATAGGAACAGAAATACGGTCACACTCGTAAGCTTAGAACCGGTCATACTCAATATACGCGGATACTCTAGTATCCCGTGTAAGCGGATCCTTAAAGATTCCGAAAACCTATCACCAAAGGACCACGAAAGGTATCGCAACAGATTTTAGACAGTCAGTGGACTATGGCTATTTTCTAAAGGTTTAAAAAGGTGCATATGTTAGGCCAATGCATAACTATGGGTCAATATATGCAACCCACGTGGGATTTGTTTTGGTCATGGTATAGGAAAAGTAGTACTTAAAACACTAGTTTGCTACTTTGTAGATGTATGGCACGTATATGTGTACATGTATTGACAATTAATGTTTGGTAATAGCTAGTAGGAGTGTCAGGGACCGCTGACAGATTATAATTTTGAACCAAAAAATTGAATTATATTTTTGGCGGTCTCAGTAAATCAATGGGGTAATCAGGTCCTACGTGCTTTTTACAGGCCCAGAAATCAATGCTCGCTTATAAATCAAGGAGGATTGGCTCCCAGAGTGCACCACCGATATTCTGTCCCATATATGAGTATGTCGTAATACAAAATTCGAATTCAAACAGCCGCCATTTTGTTCACTTCAACATTTAAATCGTGAATTTTGGTCTTATTTCCAAACGAAAAATTCCAAAACTCACAAGAAATGATCGAGATATTGGTTCGAATCTTTTGAACTGTTTATTTTGAATTTATAGTCGGTTTTAATTTCAGAAAATAACGACATTTCGACGTTTTCATTGTTGGAAAATATCGAGTTTCGATCCTGGGAGCCAATCCTCCTTGCTTATAAATGTAGCAAAATCTTTTTTCGTTCGTGGGATATTTTTTTCACCATATAACCGAACGGGAAGTTTTTGAATAGGACTACGATTCGATGGGCTGGGATTTGAGAACTTATGATTTGAACTTTGCCAATTTTACGTGTATTCCAATGGGTGAAAAAGTAAGTTGCTTTCTACCTATCTAAAGGAAAAGTACTCATAGAGATGATAAAATAATTTCGACTTCGAGACAGGGAAGGTGCAAACACCCCTCGACATCTTTTTTCAAAAAAGTTTTCCTGATTTTCAAACTCTTCCACTCCTGTTTTTGTCAATGTTGTTTACATCAGTATGTTGCATTTGTAGACATAGTTAACCACTGAAAAGAAAAGTAGGATTCAATAACGCAGATGCGAGTAGGTAGTTACCAGTTTCGCCACCAGGTGGCTCGTTCGGGTCAGATAACATGGCGGGTATAGTAGAAAGTTCCCTTTAACTTAAATTACGTTTGTTTTAGTAGTTCAATTTTTATATAACCCTTATGTATCTAATAGTTATGTAAATTAAAATATGTCCAGTAAAAGAAAATGTTATCTGTCCAATACAATAAAAGATATTTCACTTTTTGTGATTTTGTAACATGGGGTCTATGAGGAATCAACCCGAACTAGAAGTCACATTTTCAAAAAAAATTTCGAAACCATATTTCTAGATGTACTTTTACATGTAGATTTCAAATATGACATCACTTTGACTGTATTTTGAATATTTAATGGCGTAAATCAAGATTATTTCTATTCGCATCTAGTCTATTGGGATAAAGTGAAAAACAGTATATATCATGTTATTTTCCTAAAGGGAAAACTCATGCGATTCATTGTTTTCAGCCTAATTTTGGTCACCAAGAATCGATACCTTTCCTGCTTGAATCCTATTTTAAGAGGTTGTCTGTGTCTCCAAATGCAACATATTGATGCCTAAAATTGAAAAACACGAGTGGAAGGGGTTGAAAATCAGGACAACATTTCCGGAAAGAAATGTTGGCGGGTGTTTGCATCTCCCCTGTCTCAAAGTCCAAATTATTTTAGTATCTCTATAAGTGCTTGCCCTGGAGTTAATGAATTCAATGTCAAATCCTTAGAAAATAGCCAAGATAAAATACGCGACTGTCTGAAATCTGTTGCGATATCTTCTGTGATTCCTTAAAGATCCAATTTATTGTAAGTATTATGATAAAATATATTGATATCGTGAATTTTCCACATTTGGATCGAACGTAATATTCCATTGAACCCAGCATATGGGGTCTATGTATCCCAGTTCATTAGATAATAGCAAGGGCATATTAATATAATAATATTTAAGACTTGAAATAAAATCACAATGGAAGTAAAAAACAACATTTCTGAAGTTCCAAGTTTTACTATTTCACATGTTTAAAGGGTGAATTTTGAACCGAACTCACATTTTTTTCACTTGGCACCTCAATTTTAGTGAATACCTTTATTCATCAATAAAAATCTACAACCTTGTGGTCTGACCTACATATAGCAACAAAAATTCAAATGACTCCCTCTCTAGATAAAAACAAAATTTTACTTTTCACAAATTAATATTCGATTAATCTGATTATTGGGGATATACAAGGGGCGATCCATATATTCTGATAAAAATGCTCTCATATAGCTATATCTTAAATTATCAATGAGATAAGGCTGCCATGGTAACCTGTATTAAGGGTAGGCAGGTCAATTTAATTATAACATATATAAATATCAAAATAACTTGTTATTTTAATTATTTTAAAGCATGCGGAAATCATGCATTTTTTCTAAAAAGTTTGGTATTGTTACTTGTTGTTTGTTGCTAAACAAATGTTTATATGTGCTCACTATAACATCACGACAAATCACAATAGCATTATAGGACAGAATGGGCCAATTGACATTACATGTTATGAGACACACCAAAAATCAAATTGTCAGATTAGGTTAAAGTGGCTGATGCAGAGTGTCACATTAACGGATACATTAGGGAATACCATTAGATTTGATTTTCTTTCAAGAATAAGTAAGAGGACACTGTCAGAGACATACATGGACTCATAAAGTACATGGGCAAGGTGTTATATCTGCATAAAGAATATATAGGTAGTATTGTAAAGAGGAAAGCATGCGGTCACTGTTGAAGATCATCAGCAATCTGGTTGCAAGAAGAGCTTGCGGACAGAGAGTAACACTACGATAAATTGAGATTTTACTTATGAAAAGATAGCTATCCCACTGTATAAATTATCAAACAAGGGCAACAGGGGTATGGAACAGATCAATGAATAGTTGACAATGACTGGAAGATGCGTTTGATCTGCTTAAAATAGGTACCGAGGAATGATTAAATTAACATATTTATCTATTTTGGACGTTATAATTTAACTGACCTGCCTACCCTAAATACAGGTTACCATGGCAACCTTATTTCAAAATTAATTTAAGATACAGCTAAAATATTTTAGCATCGTATGTGTAATTACATAATCTACATGTTCTGAAAAAATGAAAAGGATATGTGAAAAAATCACAAAATGAGAGCATTTTTATCAGAATATATGGATCGCCCCTTGTATGTAGAAGTACCAACAAGAGCCATGAGTAAGAAAAAGGAGGACCTAGACTCCGTAAAAAACGACGGCCCTCTTGAGCTACCTATGATTAAATCTACAAAGATTTCTCTTTCGTTTTATGCCGGTAAGAAATGATGTGGGTATTTCATTTTAGAATTTTTGTGACTTATTGCCATTACACAAACATAGACTTTATTGTAGTTGTAACTCAAACTATGAAGAAAAGGGTCAAACGAAAATTGCCTATTGTATTTTCAGTTATGGTTGTGTTTTTGATGGCAATATGGGAGAGAAAATGTAGTCCATTTGTGCAGTTTCAATTTTTCGCAAGTGGTGTAGGAAGGTGCATATCCCCTCTCTTAGTAAACCTGTTCGTTACGCCAAGAACATCTAGATACTTCAGAAATGATACAACATCTGTTATCAGTTTTTGGAATGAAAGCGCCTTATTAACTTTGTCTAATGGAACTGTATCTCCAATAAGAGAAAACGAAGTTCCAATGAAGTCCGATGTAAAATATGTTTTTGTAATAATAGGCGCATATTTAGGGGTTATTGCTTTGCTTTTCTGTGGCATCGGGATCAAATTAAGAACAGTACATGCTGTAAAACAAGTTTCCATCACCCCCGACAATGATGGGCCGAAGATTCCAACTTGGACACAAATGAGTAATAAACTCTATAGGATCAAAATGTTAATCTTCGTCTTCTTGATTTATTTCACAAATGCGGGCGTCCTCATTACAATGAGTGAACTTGTGACGACCTTTGCCATTCAAGGTCTCCATTGGACCAAGGATCACGGAACAGTTATAGCTTCGGTTTATGGTGGTGCTGGTACTCTTTCATGCATTTTAGGTGTATTTGCGACTAAGATATTGTCGCTATCACAAATTAATTTAATAAAGATATTGACAACTGTCTTGTCGATGATCATCATGGTAGCATTCGTACAATTACATGCATCTGTACTTTGGTTGACAGTTCTTGTAGCTGGATTATCACATGGTGGCCTGAGTGCTACAATATACTCTTGGTTTCAAACCAACGTGATGCAGGTAACTGGGATAGTTGCGAGTATTAGTGCCATAGGAGGATCGTTGAGTGCAATGAGTGTGCCCTTATTGACAGCTACTCTCATGGAAAACGTGGACTTCATGTATTTTGCATACATGTTATTGGGTAATATGGTGATGGTTGGAGTTGTAGCCATATGCATTTATGTAGATTATAAAAAGCACACAAACAGACAATTGTAATATTATAAGTTTTTGAATGATTTGAAATGTAATACAGGATATATTCTGCTCGAGAAATTCCGTATTGGAACGAGGCGAAGTCGAGTGCCAATACAGAATATCGAGACAGAATATAATTATCCCATATTGCACTTCAAATCATTAAATAACGTTTTTATCGTGTGATCCTCTGTATTGCTACTAAGATTGTCCCCTCAATAATAGTGCAGTGACACTCAACTGGATTAGCCTTCTGATGTTTTGGCAGTTACATATTTATGTCGCTTACAACTCCCAATCCGTATTTATTGTGCATGTGGAAAGTGATTCCAAAGATCCTAACTGTGATGTACTGGCTGTGGATTATGCGCATTGTGTTAGTTTTCTACTATAGGAAAAGTAGACTACTGTGTTAAGTGCCTACAGTGAACGAGGGATTCCTGAGGAAGTGTGGAGTCGTGTAAGTCTGTGGAAGTACAATTTGTGTAAAACTTGCGACGGAATACAAGTATCATGTAGTATTGACAATGGAAAGATTCTACTTGTATTTATATGTGATCGGAGCAGTTGGAGTAGGATGGCGTTTATATCCGTAATCTAATCTGTGGATTAAATCGTACTGTCAGTAACTTAAAGGATTCATTCCGTCTGGGGTTACAGTTTAGACATCTGTTCATTATCCAGTCCATATTCTATTTGTGATAACTGTTTTACTATTGTGACAACCTTATATTTTAATTGATTTTATTATAAATATAGTGCCATGAGTAATCAAAATCACATGTCTGTTATCAAATTGATTATAAAGAACCTTTACCCTGTGACAATGTCATTAATATATACGCACAAATTAAATGTCAAAGTTAAAGGATCAAAAATGTTAAAATAAAACAACTTAAAAAGTGCATTGGTCACAATAAAAATTAATCACGAATATTTGAAACAATAATTCAAAATGAAAAGAAACACAATGTGCAAATACACTTCGACCACCGTCAAGGACCACAATACCACAATCCAAGACCATAAAACCATTTAACATTTCATTCATACTGAAGTTATTATAAAAAAAATTTGGCTATTTGATATGCATACCTTCCTAGAAGAATGCGTGATGCTGAAAAAGTCATTATTGAATGAGGGAATAGGATGTAAATAGTTCAGCTCTAGTGAACTGCTTGTGACAGTCAATCGTCTTTTTTGCCATACTGGTTTTGTACTTTTGGATAGCTTGCCAAGTGTAAATTCTTTAAAATCAATAGAAAGGGTGTTTAGCTATGCCAATGAAAGATGGCGAAGTTGTTTGCATGACATGATCCATTCATTTTTGATAGAATTTTCAACCATACGCCATCTTTAATTTAAAACACTTTGTGAAACATCTCAGTTCAGTTTTATCCCAAATTAAGGTTTGCATCATATTTGATTGAGTGTATGAGTAAAATATCTCAAAAGAATATTTCATTATTTTTTCTTCAGAAATATGCATATTGCCTGTTTAAATGAAGATAAAATATGGAATAATCTCAAAAGGAAACAACATGGCGATACATTTACTCCAACTGAATTTCTTGATGTTAGAAAAACCGGTGCAGTCTAATCTTTAAAACAACAAGACAAATCCACAAGAAGTCCACCTCTGGAACAATGACTGCATGAAATTAGGACTAGTAATCAACTTCAAAACATGGCAATAGCAGGGTATTCATATTTGATACATTTGAAGAAGAAGAGATCATCATAAGAAATGCAGCTTTCTAAACATAAACTTCCCAAGCCTATTCAAGGTAATATTAGCAATGGAAAAAGTTAGTTAAAATTGTGCCAGTACATCAAACTTGGAATCAATAGAAAAATGGTTCAAAAAGTCCCCAAACAAGGTGGCGTACACATATTTGTTAATAACAACAATATACTCATTCCAGCAACAACATCGCAGGGGAAATGGCAAAAACCAACAAACTCAAAATATGCACCATGACAAATACATTAACTTTAAACACTGATTCCAGTTCAAAGCTAATACTGATACATACAAAGTCTGTTTGAGATGAATTTGACTTAATATGTAAATTCACAAATCTTAGATCGTTTAAAAGATGAAAGCAGGCGTTATAGAAAATGGATCATATGACATCACAGTTGTGATACAATTCCTACGACAATATAGCAACATATATACTGACAGAGGATATTCCTCCTATTAGAGACAAAATCCTTTTTTAACAAATAGCCAATCAGGATAAATCACATCTTCGAGGTTCCGACATTTTGTTACCGAAACGAGTACTAGTGATTGAGCCGTGTATATCATAAATATCTATAAATATGCCTTTATTTGTGCTATTCGTACACTCCCCTCCATAAGTTTGGCAACCTTAGCTCCCCATTGAACTACGTGTTAAAGCCTCTTTACGTTTGAATTTTTATTTACTTAACCGGCGATATAAATACTTATAATATTGATGGAAAGATAACGTTAACATGGGAATGCCGATTTTCAAAAATTCATCAAATTTATCATCAATTTTCGACTTATTGTAATTGAGGAAAAAATTGAGAAAATTTAGAGGTATTGGAAATAAAGTCAAATTACGTTTCCATCAATAGTATAAGTATTTCCATCGCAGGTTAAGTTTTTTTTTTTTTTTTTTATTAATCATTTTTATTTCAAGTTCATATATTATAACATTTAATTTCATACAATGAAAATTCAACAAGGTTAATCAATTTAACATTTGTGTTGAACTTCGAAGAAAATATACCATACACTTATATGCAATACAAATTTGTTACAATTATTCGTAACTATTCATATATAAACAAAAAGGAAAAAGTACAATTAAAGCTGATATTGGAATGCTTTACAAAAAAAGGTGTGCAGTGGTGTAAATTATGGGATGGTGAAATATACATGTTAGTCAATCTTGGTTGCTTGTAGGAATTTTAAAGTTGCTTTCAGCAGAAGTGTATTATCTTCATTACTAAGTTCACTGTTACCATGCAAGAGCATATTTACTTTGCTAACAGAGTTAGCATCTAAGAATTTTTCTAAACAACCAATAATATGGAGATCTATAAGTAGTTGGATTCTATCATTTACAAATTGGGGGCATTTGAGGAAAAAATGAGTAGGGGTTTCATTTTCATGACCACAGTTACAGGCTGGTGAGTCAATGTTTGTAAAGTGATGAGCAAATAATTGACTTTTTAGAAATAGGTCCACTTTTAACCTGTTAAATATAATTTCAGTTTTTCAGGTTAAGTAAATAAAAATTCAATTGTAAAGAGGCTTTAACCCGTAGTTCAATGGGGGTGCTAAGGTTGCCAAACTTATGGAGGGGAGTGAACGTAAAAATATAATGTACCTTATCTAAAGGAGCAGGTAGGTTATTGCCAACAATTTCAGACGGTTCCAATTTGAATATGATTATTTTCTGATAATGAACACGGGTGTATCTTCTAGACCCATCCATTATCTCCGAAAAAAGTTTATATAATGATAACTAAGCTCTTCAGACTAAGTAACATTATATATATAGAGGCAATGAAATGGACCAAACAATATACTTTTTCAAAACTGTTGACCTAATTTTCACTAGAAATGCAACATTTTATTACAATGTTGAATGCATGATTAAAATATGCTTTAAGACAAATTCTATTTTCTTAAAATAAAGGTGGATTCAACGGGACTTTAAAGATAGAGTGACCGAATTGAGCGAAAATCAATGAATAGCATGAGTTTTTTCAATAGGAAATAGCATGGGGAACACTAATCTTCCTTTCAGGAACTAATTGATACATCAAAATAAAGAAAAGTATTGTAAAATGCTTGATTGCATTTTGGTGAAGATTAAGTCAACATCTTTGAAAAAGTACATGTTGATGCCCTGATTCAGCAAAACATGTCCGATCGACCGTATCACTATTGTATACTTTTCTTTGGCATGAATGAATCTAAAACGATTTACCTGTCTTCATGGTCAAAAATATTCACAATCCAAAATAAACCGTCTGAAATTGTTTCCAAAAACCTACCTGGACCTTTCTGTAATTGTTGCTGTATGCCATATCGATCAGTTTGAACAGTGCAGTACCAGTTTCAATTGAACACAACAAAATGTATCGATTGTTCGTTCAATTTGAAAGTCATAAAGTTTATAAATACGGTTAGTGGAAAAGTTAATCGAACTATTCAATAAAATATCGCGATATCAATTTGATTTCGAGAAGTAGATAGAGATATCACCCTCCCTCTTCTTATCTTACATCCAAAGACAAAGCATGCTAGCCAAGGATGGCAGAGTAGAATTCAAGGTATGGTTGTCAACAAAAATATGATATTTCCATGAGACAAAATTTGTCACCTAGGTTTAAGTAAACAGGTATTCGTATTTATATATGTTTATGTGTCCGAGATAATTAATGTCCCTAAGGCATCACTTTTGAGATAAGAGGAATAAATAATATGTTTACTTGACTTATTTTGATTATTATTAATTTATCGACAACTAAAGTAGAGTATTTTTGAGTTTCTTATCGCAATAAAAATAAATCAATGAACATGTATCATCAAATGGTGTACATCAGCCAATCAAACGATACGATTTTCTCGAAGTAGAACCCAAAAAGGTTGTAAATCTTAACATTCTTATGTCTGATGAGGCCTTTGGAATATAGGTTAAACAAGCTATTTTAGACCAGAGCCCGGCGCAATGTTCTACATTTTAAAGGCCCGTGTAAAGTTTTAAAATAGTTTCTTCTATTATCTAATATAAATTATTTATCAAATAAAATTCATTAGAGACATTTTTTCAAAAGCCTGGTCATTCAATTTTTAATTATCAGAACAGTGCATAATTTCTTTTTAAAATTCATAATTTTCCCTCTTATACTATATTGTATACTTAACTTTCGAATTCAGTTTAAAGCAAATTTTGCCTCTCTAATGTTTATATCATATTTTTAATACTTTTGTACCATTGGTGACAATGGGATCTACAATTTAGAAATGTATATTTCTCTGAACATCTTTATACGCCTCTGAGCTAATATTGATTTCATGTTTCAACCAAAATTCTTAATTTTTTCATCACAAAATATTTTGGAATTACGCTATGGATAGGTTTAAAGTGTTGAGATGGATCTTACAGCCAAAAATGCTATTTCAAACAAATTCTAGAAGTTCTTTCAAAGAAACCTGTTGAAATCAAAACTCGAGTTCGTTCCATGGATCACATTTGATAACATTGGGCAAGACTTAAAACACACACAAAAGTGGTATAAACTTTACATGGATTCTTTAACAATTTTATAACTGGAGCGAGAGAGTCCTTTGCTCCTCTGGCCTTCACATGAGCATTATGCATGCTGTAGTCATATGACCATCTCATAGGGCAACTATTTTAAGTTTCAACAGCATTTGTGTCGTTGTTTCTTAGTACTCGTATATATGCAAATGCCACAAGCAAATGCCGCAAAATTACTCTCCTGAGTTGTAGAAATCCTACGATTGTCATTTAAGTTTTTTATATAATTATGAGGATGGCATTATAAAAAGACAGCTTTTAAAGTCAACGCAGAAATTCATAACCTTAACTTTAAAACATATTTTATGAACTTGTTTCTACATCAGTTACCATTGTTACTTGATACATAAAAACGTAATTAAATGAATCAAGTGAAAAGTCTCACACTCTCACACTCTTGGTACATTCATTAAATGGAATTTTTTACTAAGAAGTCTGAATTTGATTGGTGAAGATAGATCACACCTTTGTCTGGCATAATAAATAATAATTATAATTTTGTCAATAATTCTGAATGTGATGACATTGAAGGCATCAAAAATAAAAAGGTTATCAATCTAGTCCAGTTTATCAAAGACAAATAATCTGTCCTTCACCCAAGGAGCAGATTTTATAATAAATTAATCAACATCAAAACATCAATGACGCATTAGGATCTGCTATAAAAGGTCTGCTGGACGACGAAGAGAGTATTCAGTTTCTCGTCAGTGAATACATCATGAAAAGTATCATCTGCTTGGCGCTTTTGGTTGCGGCCGTTTCGGGTAAGTCTTAAGAAACTAAAGAAATGTTAAATGAAACTTGTAATGACTTTTGAAGTTGGTAATTGAAGGTTTTAACACACATCGCAAATAATTTTCAGTGAAGCTCAAGTAATTTATACTTTTGACTAAGTGTATTCATATACTAATCTAGTATTTATAATGTTCTTGTATACTAATTTTGTAGGCATTGTGCTCAATTTAAAATATATTTCAAGCAGACTGCAATCAATGAGCTTGGCTGTTCATTGCTTTCTTCACTCGGCTCATCTGACCACATTTCTGTTTTAAAACTTCAAGAACATATCAAATCAATACAAATTTCCTATCATATATTTACTTATGTTTGAATTTTAATAACAAAAAGGTATTTGCCATTATTCATGTTTTTGGAGCTTTTATTTCCAAATGTTTACACGTAAATAAACCAACATTGTGCCATCTATCCGTAGTCCTAAAGATATCACAGTTAATTTGCTGTTGGCCAGAAATCACTTTATATATGTACGCTATCTTCACGTTCTTTATCAAACATATGTACTCTATTTTAGGTTTTGGTATTGAACGGAGGATGCAAGGTGATGACCCACGTAAAAGCCACCACCACTTTTACTATGGGGATGTTCACCACCATCATCGTTTTGAAGATCATCATGGTCAAAAAAGTCACCACGAAGACTCTGACCATAGTAGCGAGGAACATCACAGTGGAGAAGATAAAGAGTCTAAGCATGATGATCATAAAGATGATGTGTTCTATTTCGCTGTTGGAGATGCCTTTGGGGCTTATGAATTCATGTAAGTACTTCTGTTTTAAAGCACTCGACCTACAATTGACCTGGCGATTGATGACTTTATATATTGGTGAATTAATGAAAGGTCCGAGCCTAGTACATGTAGCTGAAATTCTCTTTTTGGGGAAAAAAACCTAATCTATGACATATGTAGCTCGATGATTTAGATTTTAGATTAAAGTTCATTTTTAATTGTTGTCTTATAATGTTTAATTTGGCTACGTCACTTCCGGAAACTATGATAATACCTTTCTTTCTGTTTGTTGCTGGAGGTGTGCAGTATTTACATTTATATCACGCGCTTCTATATTTTTTGTAGAGATGATAAAGGTGCCCTGAAGGGATTCCACCCTGACCTTATAGAAGCACGTGAGTATCATTTCATTGAGGACATTTAGACGCAGACTTGCTACAGCGTCTTTTCTTTTTCCGTTCTAATTTCGAATCAAGGTTTCAATTTCCCAAGTTCATTCTTGAACATTATCTATTTGTTGATTATACGTTATGATACTTTTTATTTCTTCAGTTTGTGCAAAGCTTGGTTACAAGTGCGCCTGGGTGATGGACAAGTACAGTCGTTGCTGGGAGACAGATGGAGACTATGAATATCCAGGTGTCGGTAAGTATAGTTTTGCAAATTTAATTTCGGATTAGGAACGTAATTGTTCGTGATAGTAGGTTTGAATCTAGCTATAAGAATGGAATATATTTCCTGTTCCATACTCATTTGAATTTTGGTAGCATTATAATAAAGTATGTGCACTGCTGTTTGAAGTAAAATTGCGAAAGGAAGCACTATTTTGTATTTCTGGTAGAGTTGTTGATTTATATCTATGATGATCTTCATCATGTATTATGATTTTTATCATCCTAGATTTAAATTCATTGGTCTTATCATTTTAAGTCCAAAGTCATCTCATCAATTATCTAGTTCAGAGTTTAAAAAAAACAAACAAAAAAACCGGCTTCTGGTATTTCAAGAGGCTTATTTCTTATGGAACTAAAAACGAGCCCTTAATATTTCAGGCATGAATGCTGATTGGTACACCGCCTGTATGGGCTACTGGCCATACCCAAGACGTCTCAACTCCTTCAACTTTACCCTGTCCTACACCAAAGTTGAACCAGCCAATGTGTTCTGGCTTGAATCTCGCAGCGAAGATTTCCAAACAGATGATATAAAGGGTCTCAATGTAGGTAAGTATAATCTAGGAAAGAAATTGTTTCCGATCATGAAAGATTTGTGGCAATAACGATGGGTCTAGAAATGGGCATGTAAGACGCTATATATGCAGTATAGAAGTGGATTTGATTGGCCTCTGCGAAAAATTTATCAGACCATAAAATCAAAATTTTAAAAAAGTATAAATATGCAACGCGCCAACCCCATTTAAAACTTTTTTAATTAGCAGACATTTTTCTATTCTTTTACGGATATAAGTTTATAATGAAAGTTTATTATGAAAAAATAAGTCATTGGTTCTAAAGTTTCAAGATTGTGCCTGTCCCACACCATTTGAGACTAATGCCTTTTTCTGTTTAAATACTAATATCTACTTCAATCTCTTTTTGATGTTTTGAGTTGGCTATCAGTTTTAAATTTATTCTTCAACATGCATTGTCTTGACTTAAGTATGAATATCCCTTGGTGTTATGGTCTCAGATTGTGATAATGTTACTTGAATGATGGGGATGGGGGTGCTAGACATAGTTTCTTTTCACGTTGGATAATGATTTGAGATAGTTGGGATTGGTTTACTTATGACTGGGATACTCTTTTATGTCTCATTTTTCTTGCTGTGTTCTGTAAAATTTTTTGGTAATTTCCCTTTGGCACATCCGCATACATAGCCATGATGCTTACCGATTACAGGAACAATTGTGTTAATTTCAGGATTCATTGACGGATGGTCGACAAGCAAGCATTGTCTAGCTAGGGAGACTGGCACAAGCATTGAAGATTTTACACCTCATCTCTTTGACAACCACCATGACATGATAGCTGCTCTACGCAAGGGAAAGGTAAGAAAAAATACTAACATAAACCAAATACATTCATCAAGTACTTACATAACTGCCAGCTGATAGACAACTAATGGCAAGTGTCAATTATGAATTGAAGAAATTTAATTAAAAACATTACATATTTTCAGATCCACAAACGCTATATTTAACACCAAAATTCTTAAAAAACATTTGTTACAAAAAATCATGATTCTCTTGTTATTTTGTTTTTCAGATTGACATTTTCCTCAGTGGACACCACGCATTCAAGGTCCCAGATGACCTTCACGAGGGCAACGACTTCAATTGCAACTACAACAATAGAGGTACTGAATAAAATCTAATGACAAATCAAATTTATTTGGAATCAATAAGTCATTTTAAAATGAGGACAAACTTTAAAATATAAGACTTAGCATGCATTATCATTTAATAACATAACATATAATTAATGCAAATGGCAGGAAAATGTGAACTTTAAAAAATATTTCCGCCAATTAAACGTTCTTTTTTCACTCTGAAAAGTATATTGTATGATCATTGTACAGGGAAACCAAATTGATTTACCCAATGCTAACGCTAGAATATTTATTGTACAAAATATAGGACTATTTTACACCCCTTATAATATATAGAAATAGACAAATAACATATCTTGTTGTGTTTTATTCAGGAGCTGCCTTTATGTTGAAATATGGCCATCCCGCAATTGATGTGATCAACAAGGGATTGGAAATGATGTACAATGACGGATCTTACCACAAACTCTGCAAAGAGGCAAATGAAAAATATGGTAAGAGTACAATTTGATTCGACATGAGTCACTGAAAATCACTCATTATCCCATGGTTATTAGGAGATCACATATCAAGAAGATTCAAATGATATACTGATCAAAATAATTTATACTCGCAAAAATATTCAATCCTTCGTTTGTGTTTATTCTAATTATCAATGGTAAAACATAATATATATGGGTTTACATCTTTGTGAGATCCCTAACAATTGGTGTTACCTTTTTTGGCCCGATCTATAATTATGTATTCTATTTTTGTTTCAGGAGACCATGGCGAAATACACTGCATCGACTAAACTACCAACACTATTGGACACTACTCAAGAATTTGATGTGATAATCAAGAAGATGCTATAATATATTATTCAGACTTTATGAGACTCCCAATGCCCACATTCAAATAGCATTCACAAAGTTTTGGATCGAAAGAGACTTAACTCGTACAACCGTGGTGTTGTGTTTGTCGAACAGAGCCACTCCGACCAAGCCCCACTGTATCATTATTAGACTCCAGATAGAAATCTTGAGTCTATTGCTTTTGCCAGTTTTCTTATTCTTTATTTCTTTCTTTCTTTCGTAACACTTGTTCTCAGCAGCTAGAACTTACTTAACCTACTGACATGGTCAACTTGGGAATGTATCTGGGCTGTCGAGAAATTAGGTCAAATTTTTTCTAGGCTGAAGGTCATAAGCTAGGTCAAATCTTATATTTTCAACATTCTGTCAATTATCTCTCTTTATTTATCGTAAATCCTTGATCTTTTTTGCAGTATGTAGTTCAGAAAAAAGCGTTTTAAAATTTGAAAAAAGCTCTTTTGATATCGCATGTTAAGTCAATGCGGCCGAGGAAAATCATGAATTGTAAACATACGAGATATAGATGAGAGCTTACTAGAGAAAAGCCAAGGTAAATATCGAGATCAAATTTAAGGGTTTTCCTTATTTTTGCAATTCTGACACTACACTTTAGGTATTCTTAATAACACTTAATATTCTTCGAAATTTGGTAAAAGAATGCCAGTAGTGTAAGCCTTTTACCGTCAGAGGATGTTTTGACCTACTTTCGAAATATGGTGTCTGGTGAGTAGGTCAAAACGAAAAGACCTCTGAAGTGCCAAAACTGGTAAATTTTCTCAGGATTCCAAATCTGAAATCGGAATTGAGATTAGACTTCTGATTTAGATTCTATGGCCTTTTGAAATTTCCAAAAGTCGATATCCCCGTGTTGAGTCAATAGCGCGAATTTGATCAGCTACCTACTAAGCTACTTATTCCACTTCTTACTCAGCTACTCACTAAGCTACTTCTTCTACTCACTAAGCTAAGCCGACTTCGTCAGCTACTTCCTCAGCTTCCTATTCGGCTACACTTACTCAGCTATCTAGATTAATCCAATCTGGAGTCTTAAATTGAACTTGTTCAATATACCATTCTTGTTATGTTTGAAGTATTTTTATATGCTTATTATGTGTTTTCTTATTAAACAATCATTTGATAATAAATGCGTACAAAATATTATGTTTGAAAATCTTGTCTTTTCTTAAAGACTAATTATCAGTTGAAGCAATGACTTGATTGTGTGTCATGGTTTTGGAATCATCATTTCGTCAACTGATGAACATGTACATTTATGATTCAATTTGTACAGGGTGTTTCAAAAAATGCAACCCAGTGCCAAACATACAATGCATTTTTTAGCCAAAGTGAATTCGTGCTTTTAGTTAAGCATAACATGTGTATGACCCATTTGCTGACCATATAATAATGCATGTGCTCCAAACGGCTACATCATCTCATGGTACAGACTTGCAAACATCCCTTTCTTCCATGTCATCAATTAGTTTGACATGGACTTCTAATTAGAAAATATGTGGTAGAAATTCGGGACATATTCTTTCCATACCCAGCAAATGGACCCGGCCAGCACAAGCTATAGTCTGACTTTGTCAACTTAAAAATATACCAGGTCGTTCGTAAAGTTCACAGAAAAAAGCTCTCATTTCAAAGATTTTTTACGAAGGCCCCCTACGAAGTGGGCGGAGCCATTCGTTCTATGGACCGACTGTCGACCATTCACGTGACCAAAAGTCCGCCATTATTACCTTATATGGCAAATCATCAAAGCAACGATCACGACGTCATATGTTGTGTTTGTGATGAAGATATGACGTAATATAACATAAACTATGACGTCAGTTACTTATTGCCCTATCAACTAAACAGACAAGAAAGCTAAACGGCACACATCACAGTGTTTATTATATTTTAATTTGTGACGTCATTAATATGTTACCTAACCAACAGAAAACAAGCAGTTACATGTAGTTTGTTCATTGTCTTTCTCTGTGGTATTTTCATAAAAAGTGGATCAGTTTTGTCAAAATAGCATTATGGCCTTCGTATTTTTCTAGTGTCATTTTCACTTGATTTCTTGTTATATTTTCCCATAAAATTTTCACAAAATACTTTCCAATTGATTCTTAAAATATCAGCATCTCTAATTTGATTGGTGAAAAATAAGGGTTACTTTGGTAACTTGACTTTTGGGTAGGCGGGGCACTTTTTGCGTCACATGATTCAAGAGAAAAACAACAGAATAGTAGGTAATTTATGAGTATATTACATGAATTTATTTTCCGCTTTCTTCTTGTACATAATATTACTTAATGTAATAGTCACATCTATTGTCTCATAAGGTTTTAGAAATATTCTCCCTCATGTTTAATGCGCAGTCGCTTGCATTCAACCCATTGACGATACAGTGCTCTGAAGCCATCTGGAAAACTTGTTTGAGGGGCAATCTGGACTTTAGTCGAAAATTGTTTCATTGTTCCATAAAGTGCACATCTTAGTTGATCCTTCATCCTAGTGAAAACAGCAAAATCAATATCTAAAATGGAGGGAATTTTAAAATATTTAAAAATTGAAAGTAAAGATTAACAAGTTTTATTGTTAAATGTCTGAAACAAATTGTTTATGTCATGAAAAAATGTTTTGATGATTGATTGAACCATATTAACACACTTTATTGAGGGCCTTTAAAAATTAAAACAAGTCCAATGTCATGGAAAACATATTACAAGGGCATGATCAATAAATGATGGATGTTTTTTCACCAGTGATATATCAATCAATGGTCTAATTGTAATGCAGGTAATGCATGTACCCCGAGACCGATAATTACGTCCCATACTTATTGCTCATCCCTCGTTAGTGAGGATGCTGTTATGTTTCTGGTCAAAATGTCACATTGCACGTATTTTGCCTCTTGCTTACCATGTACTCAGTATTTAGTTACACACTAACGACCAAGCTTTCTTTGAGGAAGTAGAGTATTCCATGACAAGAATGTAATTATTTAAATACCTGGCATCAATATTCAATTGCTTAAAAAATCTCTATTATTACAGTTTCAGATTTTGAAAACACTGATTTTATGAAGATTCTGACTTTAACTACGAATCTCATCATAAATATGTTTTCACCAATAATTTAAGCAATATATTAATAAGTTTGGTATTGGATAAAGAAAGGTCCTAAATTTCGTGAACAGAATCCACTTTTATGACGTTGATGAAAGGAAAGTTGTTGCTGTTGAAAAATAAGCTAAAGATCGGGTTGGAAGTGAGTATGGTGATGAGTCCTCATGAAATGAGTGGATATTGGAAGTTATATATAAAGCATTGTTTTTACAAGAATCATAAAAAGTGTAAGTCATAATTTAAAATGTATTGACAAGGTATAAGATGATCCACAGGTTAATAATTATGTATTTAGAAGAATTTCATTAAAGTTTGTATGAGTCCCAGCGGACAAAGCATATAATATTTGTTATTATAGTTTGTAAAAAATATATTTGCATGTATGGCGGAAGAGGATATAAGCATCGACACAGAAAAACTGGTCTTATCACAAAAATTAGAATTGTGCTACATAGCCAAAAATGTGCCAAAGATTAAGAAGAAAAATCCGCTAAATCAAAATATTTTTGGTCTATATCGGCAAGAAAAAATTGTTAATACGTGTATATAAGCACAAATGCCAAAGGGAAGGTGACTACAAACTTTAAAGAAACCCAACAAGAAAAGCAAACTATAAGTGTAAATCTGTCATAAGAAAAGTAGACCCTATATATCCCAAAACCATGATCTAACGTGAAAAGAAACAATTTCAACATCCCCCTCCCTCCTCCAATCGAGAACCAATATCACAATCCAGGACCAGAACACCAAGGGACATTTCATTCATACTGAAGTAATACATGTTGAAGAAAAATTGAAAAAATTGATAGCCAATACTCATAACATCAAAAATAGTTGTAGATACTACACCCCCAAAATGCAATCTGGTTTTCGACGCCATTTCAGTGCCAAATTTCGGTGCCGTTTCGGCACCAAATGGACTGACTAGTCCGGTTGCAAATTTTGGTGTCGAACGGTTTCGGTGCCGAAACGGTGCCGAATGGTGCCGGAATTGCGCCGAGTTTTTTCGATGCCGAAACGGCGCCGAATTATATTGGCTGTGTAGTACTCATAAAAGATAGAGTATTCAGTCTCGAATGATGTGGGATAGATAAAATCCAGTCTCGAAGTCCATAGGCAATTCAAAGGGTCAACATCCGTTCGCAAAGCCGTCATCATAATCCATAAGACAAATACCATGGCTCATTTGAAAGGTCTCTTTGTGCTTTTTAAGACAAACATCTATGATAAGACCCCCTTTCTTGACCCTGGACCCCCTGGCTCATATTGCAAATCAAAATACTTGTATACAAAACATATATATTCTAAGTTATATTAATGCTAGCGTCTTTTTGGTCTATATCTGCAAGCAAAAATTGTTAAGACATAGTCCATGGCTCATTTGAAAGGTCTCATTGTGCTTTTTAAGACAAACATCTGTAATAAGACCCCCTTGCCTGTGCCCTGGCTCATATTGCAAATTAAAATGCTGGTAATAAAACATATATATTCTAAAGTTATAATGCTAGCGAAGTTGAAATAGTCAAGAACCATCTAAACATTTTAAATAAACACTACATTAGAACAATCAAGAAACCAGTTTAGTAAAAATACTCCTAATCCAACCTGTACATGTGGCTCAGTAGAGGCAACCATTTCTTTTTAGCCTGCCCATTTAGACAATATGATCCTTTTTCCAAATTTTCACAAAAATCTCTATCAATCTAGAAAATTATAGAAGTTTAAAGATTCTCGCAATCTTTATCCAATCAGCGTTTGCGATGTGTACCGGCTCACGTATAAAAGGCGAATCCAACTCAAATCCATGCAGGGGTGTATGAGGTACTCGAATAGGAAAGAGCTCGTGAAATCTGAATTTATATGCACATGTTCAATGTTTACACATGTTTGGAGTCATTGAAGAAAATGTGATATGGGTGTGGTTCCGAATTTGAAGTCATTGCTGGAAAATATGATTTTAATACGTGAAATTATATCTATAAATACATCACTAAAAAAATAACAGTACACATGAAGTACATGTATGATTGTATCCAGAAATGTTTGAAACCCTTACGGAAAATTCTATCTGCATTTTGTCACCATTGCTCTTTCTTCCCGCATTCTAGTGCTGTTTGAATGAATATATTTATTAATGTATTTCTAACTAAAATATATCACATTTTTTATAAACCACTAACATTTAGATCATAAAAAAAATTATTCAATACTTGAGTGAGCACGATATGCAAGGGTTACTAAGTTGACACAGTAAATGATCACTGATATTGTGTTAGTTCATGCACACAGCGTATTCTGCTAATACACATTTGCTAACATAACACCCCTCACTTTCATAGTGAAGTGACTAATTGGTTTATGTTTACGTTTTAATGTGTTTTGGGTTCCTTGTTACAGCAAGGGGGGCCAGTAAAGTAGACTAACGTGTTTGCATGGCAAGTTTTGATCGAATATGTGAGACACTTTAAATGAAAAATTGAAATTTTCCCACATGTGGAGCTTCAAACCGAACTAATTCAAAAAACCAAAGGATATAATTGAGATTAACAACTTCATTTGATTTAGAACATTGACTAAGATGAATTGAATTCTACCTCTTCACCCACTTCACCCCCTTTTCTTGCTGCTTTGTAGCCTTAAGAAATCCTAAAATATGTACATATAAGACTTGAAAGTTCATATAATCATGTTTTCTTTGTATTATAAATATATGTATAGATGGGCAGCTGTAATGCCATTGGCCTTTGCGCCCAGTTATGTCCTGAGTTTAATTTTATGTTGAATTTTGATGATTATAAAAAGAACTTGGCACCATTAATGTAAATCCTTTCTATGGCATTAATGATTGGAACCAGTCATAATTTTCTCCTGATGACCATTGTGAAATATTTTTTATTGAGTATGCTTTGCGGGAGGATGTTGACCCTTTGATACGCCTATGGACTCCGAGATTGTACTTTGTCTGTCCCACATCTTTTGAGACCGAATGCTTTATCTTGTATGAATATAATACTTGCTATTTTGATTATTGCATGAATATTTTCTTGAAGGTACCATATGAAGTCTAAACCACTTCGGCTTATATCTTACCCAATCTTATGGCTAACCCAATGTTATCAAAATGTGATGTGTGAAACTTTTTTAATTTCAAAAAAGTTTTTTTGAAGGACTTTTCGTTCGAAGACGTTGATTTATTAAAATCTAATTAATTCTAGAGCTCATATATTATATATTTTAATGTGTGGTTATTCACACCAATGCCGCATAGCATTCATCCGTGCTGTGTCTTTTGCAAAAGATTAAGACATTCCCTTGAAAAATTAGTGAAAAATAACCTCATGAAAGTGGTTCAGAGAAATACGCGTTTTGAAATTTTACTACTGATTAAAACCAATGGTACAGTAAAACATAATATATTTTTCTTTTCAACCTAGTTTGACAATCAACATTGGTTTACTTTCAATGTTTAACATATTAAGAAAAGATTGACATAGAAAATATTTTTCAAAAAATTGTTTGCACCCTCAATGACATGACGATGATGTTACTAAGGATGCGAAATACTTTTAATATGCCACAATATTTAAGTCGCACACCAGATATGACATTTTATTATTGAAAAACTGCCATTTGTGCAATCTTTACAATGTTGTTAAAAAGATTAAATGAGTTTTGCAATTTGAAAACTTTTTTCCAAAAGATTTTTCGAAAACCTCAAAAATAACATGGGTCCTTTAATGAATTGGCATACAAAAATTAAGTGTCAGACCAAATATGTATGTAAAAACAAAATATATATGAAATTGTAATTTAAAAAATGTCAAGTTTCTAAATTGATATACTCATTTATTTAAACAAAAATGGAAATGTATCTTATAATTGTAAATCATAAATTCACTGATCTCAGAGTTATATAAATAATTCCATAAACCATGTTCACCTTTAATTGTATAGTATAGTCCACCGATGTTCCTGTGATATAGTCTTCATTTACTTAGAGAATGTCATTATATTAATTAAAATTCTCTTTCATAGTCCGTACTTCTGTTAACAGATAATGTGCTACGGATTGACATACACCAAAGGGTTTCAAAAACCAAGATTCAATGAAACTATGAAACTATTTTATCATTCTTTTGACCCTCGTTTGCAACAATGAAATGACTGAGAGTTTTGCTAGTAATTGAGCAAATGATTTCAGAGATGATGAGCAAAATATACCCTTAAAAACAAACTTTACTTTCTTAATGATTCATATGAAGTTGTTGACATCGATGATATCAAAAATAAAAGGGTTATCTATCTAATCCAGTTTATCAAAGACAAATTATTTAGCCTTCACCCAAAGAGCAATTAACACATAAATCAGTATCAAAGACAATGACGTATCTTGACCAGGACCTAGATCCTGCTATAAAAGCTGTGTGGAATGACAGATACAGTATTCAGTTTCTCTCGTCAGTTAGTACATCATGAAAGCTATCATCTGCTTGGCGCTTTTGGTTGTGGCCGTTTCGGGTAAGTTTTAAGAAACTATATTACTTTGTCTAACGAAACTAGTTGATTTGAAGGTTTTACAAAAAATTATGGTATATCGTTCTATTGTGATTGGTGATCATGCTTGTAAATAATAAGTTTTTGTCATAAATTTACGTTGCTTTATTGCCGGTATTATTGCTGTATTTTCGTATTCAACAATGATAAGGATCAGGAACGAGGCTCAATAATGCATCGCAATGATTTCAAATAATTTTTACTTGTATGGTATATAAATAATCTTCTTTGAAATCCATTTGAAATTTTGCTAGAATATAAAACATTTTGAGCATATCACAATTAATTAGTTTGACAGTTCACTGAATTCATTATACTCGTTTCCCAGTTTGATTTCCAATCATACCATCGAAATCCAAGATGGAATTCATTGAATTCGTTGAATTTTCTGCCATTAAATCGGATTCCTCAAATACATTGCGTTGACTTAACCTAAGAACCTCCATCTATGTCTCCTTCAAAATATTTACAAACACACGAGCTCATTACTGATATAAACATTTAGGTTTTGGCATTGAACGGAGAATGCAAGGTGATGATCCACGTAAAATGAGCCACCACCACATTTACTATGGGGATGTTCACCATCACCATGGTCAAAAAGGTCACCATGGTCAAAAAAGTCACCATGAAGCCTCAGAACATCACAGTGGGGAGGAAAAACATCACGATGATAGCCATGAAAGTTCAGAACACCACAGTGGGGAGGAACATCACAGTGAAGAAGAAAAGGCTGATGATCATAAAGATGATGTGTTTTACTTCGCTGTTGGAGATGACTTCGGGGCTTATGAATTTATGTAAGTAATGCTGCGCCTTAAGTGAAAACACTCGACCTGCAATTGATAAACTTTATATCAATAAATACACTGAACGTAAGAGACTAATACATGTATTTGAACCCCCCCCCCTCCCCCTCTCTCTCTCTCTCTAAGGAAGAGAAACACATATTTATTTTTAATTAATCATTCCGAATATGTTCAGTTTGTGCTGGCCACTTCTGGGAATTATTATCATGCTACATTTCTTTTTCTTCGGTACGTACTTTTACTTTTTCATTAACAAGATTTTTAGACTGTTTATGTGTTTAACAGTTTAACACTTATCATTGTAGAAATGATGAAGGTACCTTGAAGGGATTCCACCCTGACCTTATAGAAGCACGTGAGTATCATATACATTATAGCTATCATTTATCGAGGACATTTAGACTTGCATGCTTCAGCGTCCTTTCCCTAATTTTCCGTTTCAGTATACGTATCGGTTCAAGTGTTTCAATTCTTCAATTTTATTCTTCCAAATAATCTACCTGATTATGCGTTTTAATACCTTTTATTTCTTCAGTTTGTGCAAAGCTTGGTTATAAATGCGCCTGGGTGATGGACAAGTACAGCCGTTGCTGGGAGACAGACGGAGACTATGAATATCCAGGCGTCGGTAAGTACAGGTCTAATCGTTTCCATTCTATTATTGTCAAATGCAGAATTGTCGTATTTTGTCAATTTTTAGTTCCAAATTAATAAAGCCGATATATTGGTTTCTGGTGGAGGCTTCTCATGAAACTAAGAAATCAGGCCATTTATATTTCAGGCATGAACGCTGATTGGTACACTGGTTGTATGGGCTACTGGCCATACCCAAGACGGCTCAACGCCTTCAACTTTACCCTGTCCTACACCAAAGTTGAACCAGCCAATGTGTTCTGGCTTGAATCTCGCAATGAAGATTTCCAAACAGATGATTTAAAGGGTCTCAATATAGGTAAGCGTAAGACATGGCTGCAATTCATTGACTTCTTTACATATGAGAGCTCGGCAAAAAATATTAAAGCATAAAAATCATAATTTTAAAGAATTATGAATTATAATTTTTTGTTAATTCTAGGATTCATTGACGGGTGGTCCACAAGCAAACATTGTCTAGCAAGGGAGACTGGCTCAAATATTGATGATTTCACGGCCCATCTCTTTGACAACCACCATGACATGATAGCTGCTCTACATAAGGGAAAGGTAAGAAAAAACATCACCAAAAAAAGGCAAAAACTTTTCGAATACCTTCATAAATACTACTAGTGGATAGACCACATATGGCGACTTAATTAATGTACAAACTTATGCTTGAAAAATATTGTTTAAACAAAAACATTACTTACTTAGTGAGTACCAAGCGCAATTTCTAACCCAAAAAATTCTTTAAATTAGTGCATGGAAGTTAATTTTGTTGCTTAAAACCGTGATTCTATGGTTGTTTTTTGTTTTCAGATTGATTTGTTCCTCAGTGCGCATCACGCCTTCAAAGTCCCGGATGACCTCCACCAGGGTGATGACTTCAATTGCAACCACGCTAATAGAGGTACTAAATAAAATCTTATCAGATAAGTCTAATAACTAAGCCTTCGGAATCAATACATAATGTTTTAAAAGTTCAAAGTTCAAGATTCAAGATTCCTGTTTTATTTTTCTATGAGAAAAATGTGCAGATTTAAAATATTTTTTTATAATTTTCAGGAGCTGCCTTTATGTTGAAATATGGCCACCCCGCAATTGATGTGATCAACAAGGGATTGGAAATGATGTACAATGACGGATCTTACCACAAACTCTGCAAAGAGGCAAATGAAAAATATGGTAAGAGCGCAATTCGGTTACCCTTTGCATTCGTTTGACTTCACTTCTTAAAAGAGAGCTGTAGTTTAACTAGACTCTGCAAGCAGGGTACAATTTGGTTCAACCGGTCATTGAAATATGCATTTAGATTGAATCACACGAAGATAGAAACAATTTATCTAAATAGTTAATTTAGCTTACGAGTATATAGCAAAATCAAAATATGCGATCAATTCTTCACTAACTTTCATTCTTATCGCTCATACATAGATAGTAAAGTTGATGAAATCCCTATAGCATATACATTTGTTCTGTTTCTCTTTCAGGAGACCATGGCCAAATACATTGCATCGACTAAACCATCAACCCAATTGGATACTGTTCAAACTTTTGATGTGAGGATCATTAGAAGAAGACATATTATTCAGATGTCTTAAGACTCTAATTTAAAATGCCCTTTCAAACAACATTTAGAATCTTTTGCAGTAGAATTGTTTGTACCTGTGGTCTTCCCCTTTTTATATCAGCTTATGTTTGTCAGTAAGCCACATGGAAAATTCAAATTGGAGAAATTTCTCGTCTGGATATGATTCTGACATTCTCCATAAAGATAAGGATCTAAAGAGACGTATCGCTCATATTATTATTTTATTACTTAACTTTGGCATTTGTCGAACATGACCACTTTCAACTACCTCCATTATACAATACCATCCTGTTGGTATTATTTTACATACTTATTATTTGTTTACTTACACATTCATATGATAATAAATGCGAATGTGCAATGTGAATTTAAAACTGTCTTCCTTTTATATTCAATGATCAGTTGAAGCCATTCATCTTGTTTCAAACTGGTCTCATCCTGTCCTCGATCCACTGATGAACGATATAAAATCGAACATTATACAGGCTAAATGTAGGCAAGTTGACAGGAATAAAATGTACATCACTGACTTTTTCAATTTTTTATATAAATTGGCATATACATGTATGTCTAGATCTCTCGAAATGAGTTCTTTCAGTTTAAATAATATAATCGATCATAATCCTAGCTGATTTTAGGTTTATTAGGTTTAAAGGGCCCGTGTAAAGTCCAAACAAATATTACAACGTTTCACCCAATGAAGTAATATTTAGAACTGATATTTAAACCTTGTTCAACGTTCCTTCATCTTACTTAATTTCATTTGTCTACTTGGTCACGATTTTATGGCCATTTTAAAAACATGCTCCAAATGCGAAAAGATAACCCGATATGAAACTTTTATCTTTGGAGGCATTTCAAAGATATTGTCCACATTTACAACTCTAGTCTTTGCATGGGCATGGTGATTATTCATAAAAAAATGTCCGACCGGTAACAACTCCTTTTCTCGGAAAGATCAACAAACCAAAGGTCTGGAACGAACCCCACTCTCAGAAAGATGACTATTTTCGCGCGGACTATGAATCACACATCTACACTAGCTATTTTATTTTTTTATTTATTTATTTTATTTGACATACGCCTTAGAAACAGCGGCACACTAAAATAGGTGCGTCACATTTTAAAACAATAATACATACTAAAAACATTTATACAAGAACTTTATACACTTCTCGGTTTAAAAATCTTAATTAGAAATCTCTTGACTAAATTGTCAAAGACAATTCCATTAGCTTGCCCCCAGTCCTCAAAGATTACATCACCTAACATGCAAATAAGTTTTCTCCTTAAATTTGAGGATAAAAACATGGAGCTTAATTCTCTTGGACATTTGGACTCAATATCGAAATAAAATCCTGATCTCTCCTTAGTAAAGGCGGGGCATTCTAGGAGTCTATGTGTGATATCATCTTTACATTTACAATTACCCAACTTACAAATCCCATCACTTTTATTCCATCTTTCGTAATTAGATTCTAAACAAAAATTATTTGTCCTGGCCAGGAACTTCAGCTTGGCTCCATAAAAATCATTGTCATTTTTAAAATAGTTTTCAATCTTAGGGTGAATCTTCAGTGTCTTATAAAAGTCAAGCGAAGGATGTTCTGTCATGCTATCAAAAAAACGTTCTGTATTTTGTATTTTACTTATTGACTGATATGCATTATACCAGTTACTGTCTTGTCTGAAAATAACATCATCTAACCCTTTGTTAATCAATGAATTACGAATGTTGGAAACATATTTCCAGTATGATTCTTTTCCTGAAATATATGATTTAAGAAGGGATTCAAGAATACGGTGTGATAGAGAGCATTTGTGAAATTTATGTTTCAGGTAAATAAAATAGTCGACTTGTCTTTTTTCAGTTATTTCCAAAATAGAAGACCAGCCCAAGTCACCAATCAAAGCTGACTTAGCTGGTTTACATTTGATTTGCATGACTGACTGGGCTACTTTATATTGGAAAGATTGGAGTTTACTCTTGGCATTTTCAGAAAGCACCCATGTGCCACATCCATGTAAAATGGCAGGTACAATCATTGAACTATAAATTGTTGATCCAAATTCTATCCTTTTTATATTGCAGTGTTTGGATAATGTCATTGAGGCATAATTTCGCATTTTATTGGCTTTTTTTGTCAGATAATCAAAATGGGCATTTTCTTTCAGGGATCTATTTATCATTATACCTAGGTATTTATATTCATTCGTTTCTGGGAGCTTTAGATTTCCAAGATACCACATTTTTCCAGGGTCAAGCCTCTTACCAATAACCATTACTTTTGACTTTTTTTCACTAAATTTGAAACCCCATTTCACTCCAAAATTATTTACGGTATTAAGCATACTTTGTAATTCCTTGTCTGATTGTGCCATTAAAACAATATCATCAGCATAAAGTAAACAGGGGATATTCTTATCATCGAAAGGGATTCCTGCCTTGGAGTTGCTCAAACTGTCAATTAGATCACCCATAACAATAGTGAAAAGTGTTGGTGACAAAATACATCCTTGTTTCACTCCCACATCTGAATTAAACCAGTCAGTTGTATATTGGCCAAAAATAACTTTGTTCTTTATATTTGAGTAGAGTTCTTTCATTAATCTCCATAATTTCCCTTGAATGCCTTTTTCCCATAGCTTCAAAAATAGTAGGTCACGGTCTAAAACATCAAAGGCCTTTGATATATCAATAAAAGAAAGGTACGTTTTAAGTTTGAGATCTTTTCTAAGGCTACATAAACCTTTAAGTGTGAAAACATGGTTCTCAAGCCGCTTTCCTTTTTGAAAAGCACCCTGTAGATCACCTAATAGATCATTAACTTGGAGATATTTCATAATTTGTTCTTCTAAAATACTTGAAAAAACCTTATACACATTAGATGTTATAGTAATTCCCCTATAGTTGTTAAAAACTTCTGGATCCCCTTCTTTAAGTAAAGGCTTAATGATTCCTTGTTGCCACTCCTGTGGGACGGTCTCAAATGTTTTAATGATATTAAACAAATCAAAAAGGGGTTTTAAAATAATTTCATTCCCCATTTTCAAAAATTCATTCGGTATTTGATCAATCCCTGCAGCTTTCCCATTGTTAAGACATAAAAGATGTTCATGGATTATTGACTTTTCAAAAGATATACCAATGAGGGCATCCTCTGATATGTCATTTTTAGATTCTAATAACTTAACTTTGTTTACAAGGGATTCATTGGTTGCTTCAGGATTTCTATTGTTTTTACCAACACTTTTCCAATAATTTTTCAGGGTCTCATTAACTACTTTAGGGTCACAGATAACTTTTTCTGGGTCCTCCGGGTCTTTCATTCTAATTGGAAAATTTGATTTTTCATTGAATTTCTTAAGGGTCTTCCAAAAACCCTTAGATGATTTTGATTTAAACTTAGCATTTGAAGTTATTACTTTAATATGGTTTTTGGTTCTATTTGATTTAATTTTAAGACTAACTTGAAGCTTGCGATCTTGATAAGTATCCCACAATTCCTGTAAAATTTCAGGGCTGGCATTTTTAGATTTTGACCATAACCTGTGTAACTTGTTAGCTTGTTTGCGGTCCTTAATAAGTTGTTTCAGTTCATCATCCCAGAAATCTCTGGAACTCATGGTAATATGTTTCTTTCCAATTGCTGTGTTTCCAGCATTTAATATTTTGGTTTTAAAATTAGACCATACCACTTCAACGTCGTCAAATGGGGTATTGATGGACCAATCATCAAATTCTTTTTGTAATTCAAATTTAAAAGTAGTCCAGTCTGTTTCTTCACTTATATTCCATTTTGAATAGGCTACTTCGTTAGGTACATTGATTTTTAATGGTTGGGTAGGGGTAGGAGTCATAGATACAGTGATCACATTGTGGTCACTACCAATAGAAAAACATTTATCTTCATCAACAATCATGAGTGTGCATACTATATTCTGTAATTTTCAAAAATTCAAACAATCTTCAAGGATATAAATCTTATCCCAACCTCAGTCTATCTTCAATGGGTGCCGGAGGCAAATAAATATTTTTAAGTTGGCCTTGGAATCAACATGGCAAGCATTTCACTCATTAATTTAAAAGTAATATGTGCTGTGATCATTCATAAATGTGATTTCCCAGTATACATGAATTAGAAATCACATGCTACCATGCTAGTGGAAATATTGAAAATGAGTACATATTTTTCGATTAAAATTATTTATGTTTGGTCGTAAATGGTCATCTGAAATAGTTATCTCAAAGAAAATTTTATACGAAAAATGATTAAGTCAATTAGACTCTCAGAGATATTTAGCTAGCTAGCAACCCACCTTTTCACAGATGTTGACCTCATTTTCACCAAAAATGCAATCATTTTTCACAATGTTTAATGCAAATCTTGTTGAATCAAATCGTTCTTAAAAGGAAAACTGAATTCCCCTAGATAAGTCCCATGTTCGTATTTCGTCCCCATTGAAAAAATCATGCTAGATAGAACATGTCTCAATGCAAAATGAGAACCATTAGATTAAAAATGATATACATCTTCAAAATAACATAATGTAGTGTAGAATGAAGTTTTGCCCGTGTGTGTAAACAGTTAATTCTTAATATATTAGATGTCGCCTTAGTCTTGTAGCCTATAGCCTACATCAGCAGCAAGCACAAGTCGTTAATACTTACCTTCTTCTAAGGCCACTATTGGCTAGAGACTCGAGTAAGTTAATACATATAAACATTTCCTCACATACTCTGGACTGAATCTGGAAACGATTGATGAATGGTGGATATAACAGAAAAACGTGTCTTTATTTCTGCACCCCCTTGCCTTGCTGTAATGAAGCGCTCCCGGGGAAGCGTCATATAAACTTGAATTTCTGAATGTTTAATTAAAATATTATTTTCGTTTCGCATGCAGGTAATTCTTCATTTAGACTAGTTCGTAACATTCCAAAAAAGGTAGGTGTGAAAATCTGTTCATTTATCATGATTTTAACAGTTAGTTGGGGATCTCAGAGTGTTCAATACGCTTTCAATCAATTAAGACTGTATCAAACATATTAACTATGTAACTTGGATGAACCAATTGTGTACGTGTATTGAGATAACGGCGTTTAAATTATACGTTTATTGACCTACTTTTTTTGTTTGACATTTTTGTTTTTTCCTGATTAGATCTAGAATCTAGTTTCTGTGTAAGTAATAAGGTACTGTTCCGTACATTCTGATATTTTAATGAAACTTTAACCTTAATTGGAGCCCCATATAACTCATCCCATAATTCTTTCAACATTGAGTGTGAAACTGAAATCCGTGCAAGGTAGATCTACAGTGTGTAAAAACTTTGTAAGAATATCAACGAAATTGAATAAAATGACTTCTTACCGTTCCAATCAGATGCCCATACAGACGACTTCTCGAGATCGAAAACGAGACGAGATGTGAAACGAGAATATATAAAATGGGGGAAAAACACAATATTTAAATTCGCTGTAAATTCTGTTAGATAATGCAACCATTATCTCAACAAGAGTGATAAAAGTATGTTGGGAAATTTTATCGCATCCTACGACCCCTTTAGATTGTGGTCGTACGCCGGTATCATTGGTAAGCCTGTCTTTCTACAATGTCGGAGAATGAACTACATTAATTGCACTATCAAATGACCTACCTCGATACATTCCAGAGTATTTTAGAATCCTTTTTGGCTCACACAGTGAGCCTATGGGATCGACCAGGCGTCCGTCCGTTGGTCTGTCCGTCCGCCCGTTGGTCCGTCCGTCCGTCAACATTGGCCGCACAAATTAAAACTGCTATTCGGATTGAGTCATATCCACATTCATTTTATGCATATCTATAATGCCTATTTGACCTATCATCGCCATTTCCCAAGTTCATCCGGTTTCCGAGAAATTGCGGATTTTGACGTCAAAAAGTCAAATTTTCTGTAAATACTAGACACTTTGTTGAAGTAGAACTTTCAAATAACTTTTAGTAGTTGGTGTATATGCAACTTATATCCTCTGATGATTTCAAAGCCCTTGGAAGTACGGTTTTTGGTGTTTACTCTATAAAATTTGAGAAAAGGTAGGACTTAGTCATTTTCAGGAAACTTTCTCATGTATAAAGTCAATGGCAGGTTTTATGATTGACAAGATTCTTAAAGTTTGCCTTATACTTGATCATTTCCTGCAATAAATTACATCATTAATAGATTTAAGCATTCCCTACATATTTCTCAATGTATGTCAGCATCAAACTTTTACTGTTTTTGTGATATTTGACGTCAAAAAACAGTAAAAATAAGTTATTTTTCAACTTGCTTCAATTTGACCAATTTTTTTTTTGAAAATCATCTACAAGTTGCCAGGAGTTCAAATCTGAATTAGGATTTGACATTTACTTGACCTTCAGTGACCTTCGAAAGGTGAAAAAAGTTGATTTTTCAAATTGATTTTTGGATGTAACACAAAAGACCTTACTGAGCTCTGAATAAGTAAAATTTTCAAGGTTAAAGGTCATCAAACTAGGTCACACAACTATGCTATCTAAGTTTCTCAAAGTTCGAGACTAGAAATCCAAATCAATATTTTTGTTTGAAAGTCAGGATATAAATTCCTCTGAAGGTTCCAAACTGTGTGAGCACAGGACCGTGGGTCCTTCATCATGTTGTTAGATCGCCAATTGTATGGGTTTATCGGCAGAACGAAGAGATTTTAGTTTTTACATCGGAAATATATCAGCAATTTTCAATATTGCTATCAAAAACGAAAACCTCTTCGTTCTGCCGATAAACCCACACAATTGTGGATTCAACTACACAAAAAGAATGCTAAAATACCAAGGAATCTATTGAAATAGGTAGTGTAAGTAGCGTAGAAAATTCTCCCATGTTGTAATCGTACAGACAAAAGAATAAGACGTTCGCAAGACTAGAACGTAGAGATAGTCTTGGAACGAGATAAGGGAAATTAAGGTATGTTCTTTGTTTATCATCGTATTATTTCTATGTCGTTCTATGTCGACCTTGGACGCTTATGTCGATGTCGAAGTGACATTTCGATCGCCAATTGACGATTCCGACAAATGATCAGAGCTCTAGCTAAGATCCACCATATGTTTGGTGTTTTACATTTATGGACGGTTAGAAAAATGAGAAAGGCCTGGGTGTAAAATGCACCTAATCCTGAAAATTGTCTCCTGAAGGTCTTTCACACGACTACAGATCAAACGTCTCCAAGCAGCCTTTTGGATAAGTTGACCATTAAGCATAAGTTTGATTGATCATCATGCACAGTGAACAGAAGCCTCTCATGTTATCTATAGGTTACATGCGGAAAGAAGTTTGAAACATGCCTCAAACATGAACACTTCAAGGAAAAAATATAATTTTTTCTCACCTCACATTGGCTTTATTGGTCAAATAATGAGCCAAATTGGAAATATTGCTTTTGAAACTCGCTCTGTCTGTTGTGAGTGAATAGACTGATCTGAAGGATATTGTAATTATAAATTCAAATACTGCAATTTTGAATATTACCGACTTTAGATTTTAAATTGCAAGATTTGGTCTTACTCCATAACTAAAAAATTCAAAACACATAACATGGGATGGGGATATATGTATAAACCTTTCGATATTGCCAGTTGTAATGTCAGTGAATAATGTTATTTTCGAAAAAATTAACATGGCGAAACTCCCTAAATAACAAAAGGCCACAGCTTTGTTGCACATAATATATAACTATTTGAAATATACAAAAGTTAGGATTTGTACATATGTTTTCATATACTTTTGCAATATAGTCTTTTGATTCCTTATTTATTAAATTCCAAGTAGTTCCAAACATTTAAAATTTTACTGTAGTAGTAAGGTACATGTACGATTAATGCTATAAAAAGTAACACAGCGTGTTGTCAAATGAAAGTAAAGATAGGGGAAGTAACGAATATTCAAATTAATTTATTCCATTGGCCATTTCGAATGGCCAGGCCCGTAGCCAGGGTTTACTAGTGGGAGTGGTTTTACCAAGGGGGAGCTTTTTTGACAGTTTTGGCAAAAAATCATACAAAAAGTGCTGAAGAATGGTGAAAAACTGCATGTTTTGAAAGAATATCTGGCCAGGGAGGGGGGGGGGGAGCGGCCACTCAGGCCAGGGGAGGGGGGGGAGGTGGAGGGACTTGGGATATAGTCTAGGGGGCACTGGTCAAATTTTCTGTATGTGTTTGCAGCCATCAGCTTTCTCTTGAAAGCCCATGGTGCAGCAGAGAGCTCTCTAAAACTGCAATCATATCTAGAGGTTTTCTTTCAAAAGTGAACAGGCATTCAGGGTTTTTCTTTCAAACACAAGTATGGATTCCTCAACACAGAAGTGATTTTTACATAGATCGTCAACACGTCAGGCCTTAACTGTATTGAATTTGGGAGAAATCTGAATGAAAGCTCATTTGTATGGTAATTGTTGTATTTTCTTTTTATTTCAGATCTCAAATGGACAGATGAATAAGAGCAGAATATAGCCAGGGAGTGTCATCTCATCTTCATCTATGGTGGCTCAAACAACAGTAAACATGGAGGTGAATCAATATACAGAAACTGTGAAGGTCTTTCACACAAACTATGTTCGTAATTATCGTGCAGTTGGTGTCATGTGGGGCATTTTTACGATATGCTTCGCTTTGATAAACATAGTGGTATTTATCTACCCACAGTGGATAGGTGACACAAGAGAATCTGTTGGAGCCGGGTATTTTGGACTATACGAACATTGCAGAATTGTTACAGGAGGTGGACTTTTGTGTTATGGAAATTTTGGTGATTTTACCCATATCCTCAGTGCTGCATTCAAGGGAGCAACCTTCTTCATCGGATTTTCAGCTTTATTATCTCTAGTTACCATCGTTGCCATGCTACTATTTTTCTTCATGTCTACCAAGATTGTGTTTTTCATCTGTGGTGTTCTTCAGCTTGGATCAAGTAAGTGCCATTTTTATTATTTACGCCGGAATGTTAGTAATGGGGAGTAAAGATTTGAAACAACTTGAGAGTATATCAACAATTGTCATTATATATAATTTGGTTGATTCTGACTTTATTTCTTGAAAATGATTTATTTTCATTTCATATCATATTTGAAAATACATCTAACTCTGAAAATAGGATGTCCCATCATTCAATATTAAAGCAAGTGCAAATGCAACCTCCCGATAGACTAATCAAGCCATAGAAGGATAGAATATACGCTTTAAGATTATATTTCCTCATTCATTTTTGTATGTGTTAAGAATATATTTCACCTCCAGATAGACTAATCAAGCCATAGAAGGATAGAATATACGCTTTAAGATTATATTTCCTCATTCATTTTTGTATGTGTTAAGAATATATTTCCTCATAGGTAATATTTTTTAAATGTTGTCATACTAATCTAATCATGATTAAACTTTACCATGCCATACACATTGGTCGTGCCAGACAATTTTATCATCATTCTCAGAAGTGTCACTTAACATTTAAAGCATCTTGACTCGATAGATAGAACAGAATGAATACATGGTTCAAGAATACAATGTCATGTGGCACATACACACTTCTTCACTAGTGTATTCTTTGAAAATTAATCTGCTTCAAGCAGACCTTCTAGCTCCTGCCCCCTTCTTGGGGTGAAGTAAAAAGCCAGGTGGCTCCAGACACTTCATGAAAGATATGTCTATTTGGAAGAAGTTAGGCTTATTTTTTCAAGCAAAATGTGACAATGACACTGGGAAAATTATATGATGTCGCAAACTCTAGTTTATTCCCAAGAATCAAATCAAAAATTGGTGTAAGAAGAATACTACTCAAAACACTATTAAACTATCATAGCTAAAGGTCAGAACAATGCTTAAATTAAAAATAATATAATGCCAGGGGTTCAGTTGTTTGCCATAAACTGTTTAGAAAGGTACTGTTCCACAGCCACCCATGTTTATACCCTGCGTGCAGAGTCTAGTTAAACTACACTCTGCCTAGTTGAGACCATATTACAGTTTAGTAGCCCCGCCCCCACGACGGGTACCGGTGACAGTTTGGGTAATAAATCACTTCTGACCTATGCGCTGGCCTTTCTTCCACCATTCAGCGAGCTTGAAGAAACCTACGCCAAATGCGTTCTTATTAAATATGCGCATGGCATTGGTCAATTCCGGGCTCAACGATGACGTCAGAAGGAATGACCATATATAGAACGTCGGTCAAATTTGGCCGACGAACACTGATTGGCGCGGTGAGTTCACAGGTTTATTTTAGTTTGAAAGAGTGAAGACGAAGCTCTCTTTTAAGAAGTAAAGTCAAACGAATGCAAAGGGTACCATGTTTACTAAGTGTGCGTTCGTTATATTGGACCCGTCAGCTGAAATAATGATTACCCAATTAGCATTTGAATAGATTTTATTGCCCACTGCTGAGAAGTCCGCTAGCCACCAACTATCAAGTGAGGGTTGACTTTTGACCCAACTATCGAGCTTATCTGTTTACCCAATCTTTCAAATGAGGGTTATCATTCATAACATCAATAGGCTATCCTGGACCCTGTTGCTTTAATAGCTTTATTGTATGATGACCATCTCAAACTAACACCAAATGACAACATGTTCTCTAGAAACTTTATTAAACAGATTATATAATATTACTTCACCGCTAGTTGCAATATTTTCTAGCCAATACACACTAAATATGCAACGTGATGAGAAAAATGTCTCAGGGGAGATCACAATAATATGTGTAAAATGTAGGATACATTCAGGCCCACAAGATGTATAAAACTTCCTCAATCTTTGCATGCTCGGTCTTCACTGCGCTCACACGAGTGCCAAGTGAATGAAGATTCAATATTTCAGTGAGACAGTACATTACTTGTTTGATTCACCTCGAACATACATAAAGACATGACACTGATGGATCCAGGGGAGGGGGGGGGGCTTTGTAGGGCCTCAATTGGGGCCTTTTTGAGAACTACTAGGCCTTTTTGGGGCCTTGGAATTTAATTTTAAATATTTTCCAAAAATGATAAGAATTCTTCATGTTTTCCTGTCAGGGAAGAGCCAATATGTAGTAAACGTCAATACTGTACTATTGCATTATTTTGTCACATTAACCACACTCATATTCTGATCAGCATCAAATGAAATTATAGTGCATGTTATTTATCAAATATCCCATTAAATATAAGGTCATGTATAAAAAGGAACATAATCACCAGGTTTGATCACTATGACTCTAAATAGAATATTTTATTTACAAAATGTAGTTCAAATGTATCTAAAAATTTTCAACACTATCTTTCTGTATTTTTTGTATTTTTAAATGTCCTGACAAAAGTGATTTCAACATCTCAGCTCAAAATACTACTTCTTTGTATGTATTTGTATCAAATATATTTACTTATATATTTTTTCATGTTCAACTTGGGTTATTTCTAATGCAAAGTCACATTCATGAATGTATGTTTTTTTGCTTCAAGGCTTTACCTCTTACAGCCTTTAGTCAAGCAATGATTTTTAAGGTTAATTCGACAGATTTATTGGAGGTCAAAATCGAATGATCAGCTTAGTATTTTCCTTGTATAATTGTATGAAACATTATATATGTTTGCTGTATTATTTTGCTGTTGTTCAATATCACAACTTGTCTTCCATTATTAACTACCTTTCAGGAAATAGAATATCTTATATTTATTTGCTAATAGATGTGAATCACAATAAGGTTATCAGGGAGTATATTATGTTTGATATCATAATATTAATGTACATTGTACATGCTATCTTCTGCTCAATTTATCATTCAGTTATCTCATAAGGGATGTAACCTGGGATGCCGTGTACTAAAGAACATAATGTTAATCTGTCAAGTATATAAACCAACCAAATAAACCATTACTGTACCACAGCACAGTAATGGTAAAAGGAAGGGAAATTGATGATGTCATGAATTTATGATATATGTCTAAAATAGTTGGTAAATGTCTCTTGCCATGGGGAATCTAATTTTGCATGTAATCATGAAATAGTATACAGAGAACATTCTGTGTTGTGCCCATTGGCCCACAATTATAATGTTTTTGAAGAAGGGCTTAATTGACTTTTGGTGATGTCATGACATCCTTCTTTCTGTCAGACACCTACATTTATTTTTCCATTTGTCACTTTTTGCTCGTAAGATTTTACAATGGCTGCTTACAGTATATTTTTGTTTTGAGATAAGACAATGATACCCTCAAAAATAAAAATATATTAATTTTAAGTTAATGTGTATTGGGAAATTTAAAATTGATATATTGACAAACAGAATAACACCCTTTCCAGAATTTGTTTATATCATGTATTTCATACTGAACAAGTTATAAAATGTAATAACATTTAGCTCCTTTTTTCAACCTTTGGTATTTTCATAATAAAAAGTATGTATTGTAACAGTGTAAAAAGTATGTATTGTAATAGTGTAAAAAGTATGTATTGTAATAGTGTGCCGAGGTAGAGTATTAATTTTGGGATAGATAGTGGTTATGCCAATATGCCCATTTGACCTGAATCAATGCAGGAACTTTACCAATTAAACTGCATTGTAAACGTTTTTTTTTTGTTTGTTATTGTTTCAGCAATATGCATGTTCCTTGGATGTGTGATATATCCATCTGGTTGGACAAATGAACACGTCATGGCTGTTTGTGGCAACGCAGGCGCATATGAGATTGGCAAATGTGGTGTCAGGTGGTCGTATATTCTCGCAATTCTTGGTATATTTGATGCAATGATGCTGTGCATTCTCGCAATTGTTCTAGCTACTCGCCAAGCCAAGCTTAAGCCAACTGGATATACATCTAAAGGTGAGTTGATCAATCTTTTGTTCAAATATCTCTTCAAACAACTTCTTTTTATATTTATAAAGATCTGTCAACAAACCTAGTTTTAGGCGGAGACATAATATCAGGCACTTCATCGACTTATTTAATATAATTTCCATGACTAATTTTATGTCATCACCAAAAGTGGTGACATATTGCTATAGTCTCTCAACTTTTTTGTGGATGGTGTTCAGCTGTTGGTGTTCAACATCTGTAGCAAATGGCAGGCAGTGACATTTGCATGTTAATGCCTTGTTTTCATTACTAGATCTTTCCTCTTTTATATGACAACTTGTTTGATATCATTTCAGGGGACTCATAGAGGTCATCTTCATGATATGCTTTTTGTACTTGTTAACCTTAAAAATGATAATATGAAAAAAATACTCAATGCTGAATGGTCTTCATTTGCAGTGGAGGGGTACAATTTTAACAGTCCGTACTTGAATGGATCACTTATTGTATGTTCAAAAGAACTTGTAATTTTAGCTCACCAAATCATTGATTCAATTTTCAGCATATGAGAATGGTTACATTGAGAAAAATGGCCATGTGATCCAGCCAGTTATGATGCCACATGATGGTTATTCCGATTATTCATCACCCTCTGAACCAATCAGAAACGGAACGACGAAATCGAAAAAGCGCAATAGGAAAGATTTTACATTGTAAACAATGTGAATAAGCAAGTGATATGACTAGCTTTGCCAACAACACTACAAAATCTGTGAACAGTTGGCTATAAAAGTGGATTTACACTTAATTAATTATTAATTAATTAATTTGAAAAATTACCAGGTAATGCAGAATGTGAGGGCCATTTAATTTATACCTGGGTGTCATATAAACTGATGAATATAAAGTATATGTATCATAGCTTGTACATACTTTGAGGTGTTGGGCCAGGTCACTGACTTCATGAAAATTATTGATATCCACGTAAATTGGAATTATATCTGTGTCCTTGAATAAGACTTAGCTCATGTAGCTAGTATTGGTATGGTATTCAAACTGTCTATTGAGGCTTTGTTGCATACAGTTTATCTGTATAAAAACTTCATTTTTTAAACTACAGTTTTTCAAGGTAATACAATGTACCTTTGTGAACTACTTTTATATGACATTTGCTTCCACTTGGGGGATCAAAATTTACAAACAAAAATATAGATAATTGATATTTTGCCTTTTACAAATTTAGTCTAACAAGTTAATCATATACTAGATTCAAAATAATTTTGAGCTCAGTGGGTTAACATCAGTTCAGTTTCAACTGCCAAATTTAAAAACATCGTAACTGTACAGATTTAGGTACTGTATTGAAATGTTTGGATAACTAAACTTTCTCAACATTATTGTATTTAGTATGCGCAACCCGATTACAGAAACTGCTGAGAATTATGTGACCAGCGTATTTGTTTTAAATTTCTGTATGCAGGAGATGATTATTGAATCATCTATATTCAAAGCATGCAATAACCAGAAATATGTATTTACCAGTAGGTTCATAGGTTTATTTTAAAGATGCTTATCAAGTGGATATGAATGATTTAAATGGAGTATGTGACAGTCATGTATAAATTTATTTATAATAGTCAAACATTACTTTTTAAATGCTTATGAAGCTTAAGGAAACAGACCCATCCTTACAGATATTCTTAATGCAATACATACAATGTCATGTGTATGCATAAAAAATTAATTTATTAAAATAAATGTCACTTTGCAAAATAAGAAGTTCTTGGTTGCCAAGTATTATTTACATCATTTGCATATCTTTTGCCAAAATTTCCATCATTACAATATACTGTATATTAAATTTCCTTCTTCATAAAACTAAAAGTCCTTTGCAAAATCTTGACATTGGGATATTAGAAGATATTTGGAGTGGGTTTGTAACCTTGATCTTACATTGTAGAGTTACATGAAATGCCATTTCTTCATTGAGTTAAACTTCAAGAAATGTAACAATTCATTGTATCTCTTTTGTGATGTAGAAATGTAAACATATTTTTAATATCGTAATACTCAATGCATATTACAGCTTTTGTGTAACCCTTTTAGAGTACATGTATTTTTATCAATGTAATCATTTAACATTGTAGTTTAAAGTTTGTAAATGTTCAATGCTCATTGGATTCAGTCTTATATTTATTTGCACTTCTGAATATACTCTTTATACATAATTGTATGGAATTATATATTCGTCTTTTTACCCCACTCATTCAACAGGATAACATGTCAAACTGGCTTTCAGAGTAGGTCAAAGTGAGTCTTAGTGTCAAAAGAAGATTTTTTGGGTTAGAGAATCGAAATGAACTAAGTCCCTGGCAACTATTGAAGCAGAATAATACTCATTTGATATGCATGTCAAGTATTTGTGATATGTATTTTAGTATGATGTTAGTTTGCACTTTTCCAGATGAACCATATGTTGGAATTTCAGAAATCTTTCTCGATATAAAAATTTAAATCTGATTGTTCACTGGATGCCTTGTTTTGAATTGATTTATTCTTTACATCCACAAGTAATTGATTCCTGTCTTAATATGATCTTTTCTGATTTTGAACTTTGGTCCTTTGCAATGGAATTGAATATCTGTCATGTATTTCAGTAGAACTGTTTTGTATGAAAATATGTGTATGTACACGTTTTATGGTGCATATCCTGTTTTCTATACATGGACAGTTTGATAAATGATTCACTTTTAAGTTTCATCACTCAAGTATGGATGTGGGTAAAATTGCAATTTTCATGTTTTATATGGCCAGTGTGTATTTGCTCAGAAAGTTATAGCAACATTCCTTTTTGCTTTGATTTTAACCTGCTAGAGGCCAAACGATGAACTGTTGTGAATTAACTCAGCTCTTTTCACATTCATTTATATTGGTGTATGGTTAAATGTTGAACCCACATAAAATAACTCGTTTAACCTGACTTAGGATATTATTCAGGTGTTGTATGATTGGATATTCTAATTTAGGTAATTTAGGATATTTAGGACATATTTAACAATTATATAGTGTAATACTCAAGATACTCCTACTCGATGCAACATTTTGTATAATTCAAAAATGACAAGTTATTATTTTTGGAGGGAGTAAACATGTGGGAGATGAATAAGTGTTCTCATTTTTTTATACTATTTCAATAAAAATGAGAATGTTGTTAACCGAGTTTATGTATTAAGAATGCAGGTGTTTACGACCATATTATTTGGCAAGCAGGTATTCAAAACTTGACTTTTTAAGTTGTGATTCAGTTCATTGTACGGCCTTAGCCAACAGGCATCGTACAGGCATGTTATGATTTAGATATAAAAAAGCATATTATGGCCATCGGCCAAATGGTCCTTAGCATGATGAGATACTTGCTTATGCACTTGATTGATCTATGCAAAATAGTGTATCATTTAATGCTATCTATACAGGTTGTCCTTAAAGGAGTATTTCAGCCCACAAATTTGGTTATCATATGAAATGTTTCATTATATGGTATGCTACATTTTGGGAAAACTGCACATGAGACATAACAGAAAATGTGTAGTTGAATATCCCTTTAAAGACTTGTAAACTTTTACTAATTTTATTTATATATCTGTGATAGGAAGAAAATAATATCTGAGAAATTGCAATATTATGTGGTTCATATAATATTATTATGTGCATTCCTATTTGAATACTGGTATTAATGGTATCTCATATACATTTTATAACCAGGAAGGATATGGTATCTTGCGCTTAAGAAATACCATAATTTGTGGGAATATATTGTTAATATATTACATTTTATAACCAGGAAGGATATGGTATCTTGCGCTTAAGAAATACCATAATTTGTGGGAATATATTGTAATGTCGAAGATAAGATCCATATCTAATCACCTTCAATTCATAGTTGCAAATGGGACTTGATTGTAAAATAAGATTGATGTTTAAGTCTCATATAGATAATTATGAGGAAGGAAATTGATGATTGGATATATTTATCTCTGTTTAAAACCTTTTGAAAGATGCTGGTGTCACCTGCTACATATCATTCCATTGTAACCAATCTGAATTATTTTGTATTAAATACTTTTAAGTGGTAATCAATAATCTCAAAATATATATTGCATATATGACTGGAATTGCTTTTTTTGATATTTACTATACATGTACTGGTATATGTAATTAACGTAGTAAGGATTTTCAGTTTAGGATATTCTTAATATCTTTTGGATGATCATAGACATACTACCACTTTAATTACCTTGTAAACTATGACTATATACCTGTACAACCTTTCTGTATTTTAATTAATACCAGCATCTAAAAAAGATCATATTTCAAAATGCTTACACTTGAATGTTGATTAATCTTGGATTAAGACGAGTAATTTAATTAAACGTATGTTCTATTTGTTGAAGCAACTTCTCCGAAAAACATTGTTAACCCTATTGTTGTACGTCACATCAGACCTTAGATCTTAAACCACTCAAAGATATGTCTTATCTCATGTTTCACACTTTTAACAAAATAACACAAAACAAATTTTCATTCTAAAGTGCAGTCGTTAATATATTTTATAAAATGGTTGAATTTTTGTAACATTCCAGTGCAAAAGAGTGATGTACAGATACATTTATATGATGGTTGTGAATGCAAGTTTTGTCCCCCTGCATACATATATGTACAAAATGTTAACAAAAGGTGCTTTTATAATAAACTATTATGTATATCTTATATGATAGTGTGTTGTCTAATATTATTCGTTGTGCAGTATTCTTTTTTTGTGAATTTGATGTATGTTATGAATTGTTAACAAAATAATTCATTGGTTAATTCACAATCAATGTGAAAAATAATCAAGGTGACAATGACTACATTATACTTAGTTATGTCCAGGGATATGCCCTCTTAATAGGAATTGATTGAGGAATCTCTAGGATATATACCCCGTTGACAGCAACTGTTATGGGAATACACTCTATTGATAGCGATTAATTATGACTTAATGGGAATATGCCGCCTTGTAGCCAGTCACTCATGGTCTAAATTCTGAGAAATATACCCGAACAATTGATTTCAGACTATCTGGTAAAATGCCCCTTTGATAGCAATTTATGACTTTCTGCCCTCTTGCTAGGAACTTATGACAGATGTCATCAAATGCTATCGAGAGGGTATATTCCTAAAAGTCCATTATCATTTGTATCAAGAGGGTATATTCCAAAGAAAATCTGTCAGTAGTTGTTAACAAGGGGGTATATTTAGACCTTTTGTATAAGAACGACCCATTTCAGATTTAGTGTTTTCAAACTAAGCATAAAAACTTCTAAAAATTGGTAAAAAGTTTCAAAGGACGATTCTCGGTTTGGAGAACAGTCTCCTGGGCTAATAATTTTTTTCATGAAAAATATAGAAATATTACCCAAATTAAACTATGAATATTCAAAAGAGGACATTTAAATATACAAGATGTCAAGATAACAAATTGGTCTGAAGCAGGGATAATGCTCAAAAAGACCGATTCAATATAAATACAAGTCTCGATTTGGGGAAAGAAGTTCATCAGTGTACTGCGCTAATATTTTTTTGCGAAAAATCTAGAAATATTACCCAAATTAAATTATGACTATTCAAAAGAAGACATTCAAATCTTTATTATGTAAAAAAATCAAATTTGTCCGAAGCAGGGATAATGCTCATTTAGATTGATGAACTTCGTTCTCCAAACCGAGAATCGTCCTTTGGTTGTATGAGTCATGGGAAAATTGACAAAACGTTACCTGAACATCTCTAATTCAGGAATGAGATACAATATTCAATTATCTGAGTTGACGTGTATGCCATCTATTCATTGTCCTATGAAGCACATCTGGTTTATGGGAAAGTCTAGGCAGATAAAATAAAAGAGCCTCGATGACAATAAGGTAAGTTATATTCTTTAAACATTTATATTAAGTTATGATATTTCGTAGCGTTCATCCAAAATATTTGAATGTTTAGGTATGAGAGCCTAGAAATCACACGGTACGGTCATAAGAGGTCGTTTTTCAGTGTCTTAGAAATAGGAAGACCACCGAAGACCACTACCCTTTTTGTCTAAATTGACTGCTGGTAAGATATCAAACTAATCTGTCATAGACGGGACCCCTTTGACCTATGGCCTGAATCTCAGATTCCGGGCAAAGGGGTATTATTGGGTCGATATAGGTGACGCCACTATACCTTGTTGAATTAAATATGGAGTTTGCGTAACTATTGTAAACCATATGGTGGTTCAATTGATTTCTTGGATCAACGTTGTTTTTACCTTTATTGTATGATTGAGCAAATGGCATGAATAGCGTTCCGTGTCCTAAAGCTAACGTCGAATTGACTTGTTTTATGTTATCATTTCTTGCGCTAGTTTTGCCATCAAGTGCAGGTAAGCCATTTGTTAATTCGGGGGTTACTTTCTTGATGAAATTATTTTCTGAAATGTCTTTCTTATTTGATTGTTCTTCACTGGAGGATATGAGGGGATCTGTGATGTTTTCGTGAGGTTCGGGACCGTCCTTTCCATTGCTCTTGATAACACACGTATGATCCATTTGATTTTCCTCTTTTGTTTTGTCTTCAGGCATGTTAAGCTTATTGTCATCATTATTCGAATTTACATTATAAAGTCGTTGTTTCTTTATTGCAACAGGGCACTCACATGTCGGTTTTAAATCATCATCGCTCTGTCCTGTTTCCATAATTTGTTTCTGCTCATCTGAAATTATAAACCAGCAATGAGTCACTGTTATGAACCAGCTCATACCCGATGGTTCGATGTGACAAGTGTCGAGAAAACATTAATTTAAATATAAAACACTTTAATAATCATTTTACTCGAGAAAACCAATGCAATAATCGTGGAATTCATTCTTAGAATCTGAGATAATTTAAAACAATTGCAGCAAAGGTTCATTTGTTCGCATCCCGTTACACAAACATCTGAATGCTTTGCGAAATTCATCCTTCTTCAAAGGACTTCATTTATGCCTAAATTCATACTTGTAAAATACCCTTGCAGCAAGGATGTGCGAAATTCCATAGATTACATTTCATGTTTTCATAATGATTATTTGGTCAATATGAATAAGTTGATAAAAAAATAAATCCCGAACTTCTCACATCATTTCATTTTTCTGGCCATCCTGACTTTACATTGATAATTGAGTCCTACAATTCCATAATTAATTAATTCATTAAGATTTCACGAGGTCGGTGCAAAACAAGGTTTCTTTTGTCAGAAGTGGGATTCGAAACCACGCCCATAGAAGTGGACTGCGACCTGAGCGCAACGCTTTTTGCCTTTTTCAGGTGCAAAAATAGAATTCGTTTGTCAGAAGTGGGACCACACGGCCATCCTGACTTGACATTAACAATGGTGTCCTGCAATTTGTTGAGATTATATATAAATTGCTTTAAATTTCACGAGGTGGGTGCAAAAGTAGAATTCGTTTGTCAGAAGTGGGATTCGAACCCACGCCCACAGAAGTGGACTGCGACCTGAACGCAGCGCCTTAGACCACTCGGCCATCCTGACTTGACATTAACTACGGTGTCCTGCAATTTCTTGACAATATACTAATTGCTTTAAATTACACGAGATGGGTGCAAAAGTAGAATTCGTTTGTCAGAAGTGGGATTCGAACCCACGCCCACCGAAGTGGACTGCGACCTGAACGCAGCGCCTTAGACCACTCGGCCATCCTGACTTGACATTAACTATGGTGTCCTGGAATTTCTTGACAATATACTAATTGCTTTAAATTACACGAGGTGGGTGTAAAAGTAGAATTCGTTTGTCAGAAGTGGGATTCGAACCCACGCCCACAGAAGTGGACTGCGACCTGAACGCAGCGCCTTAGACCACTCGGCCATCCTGACTTGACATTAACTACGGTGTCCTGCAATTTCTTGACAATATACTAATTGCTTTAAATTACACGAGATGGGTGCAAAAGTGAATTCGTTTGTCAGAAGTGGGATTCGAACCCACGCCCACAGAAGTGGACTGCGACCTGAACGCAGCGCCTTAGACCACTCGGCCATCCTGACTTGACATTAACTATGGTGTCCTGCAATTTCTTGACAATATACTAATTGCTTTAAATTACACGAGGTGGGTGCAAAAGTAGAATTCGTTTGTCAGAAGTGGGATTCGAACCCACGCCGACAGAAGTGGACTGCGACCTGAACGCAGCGCCTTAGACCACTCGGCCATCCTGACTTGACATTAATAATGGTGTCCTGCAATTTGTTGACATTATGTATAAATTCCTTTAGAAGTGGACTGCGACCTGAACGCAGCGCCTTAGACCACTCGGCCTTGACATTATATATCAATTGCTTTAAATTTCACGGGGTGGGTGCAAAAGTAGAATTCGTTTGTCAGAAGTGGGATTCGAACCCACACCCACGGAAGTGGACTGCGACCTGAACCTTAGACCATTCGGCCATCCTGACTTTACATTAATTGGGGAAACAAACTTCAACCATCCCAAATGTCTAAAATAAACATCCCCCACCATCCAAACACAGTCAGAGACTACAACTTGAAAGAACAATTCATTCATACTTATCTAGTACTGAGGTCATTACAATATACTGTATATTGAAGAATGAATTTAAATTGATAACCAATTCTATACTCCAGATCGTACAAAGTAAGGCATTCTGTCTCACATGATGTGGGGCATGGGACTGACAAGATTCAGTTCATAAAGCGTATCAAATGGTCAATATTCATCCGTAAAGTCGATGCCATGATCCATTGACTAAATACTCATGAACTCTGTGTCTTGGTTCGCCCATTAATTATGTCTTAACAATTGAAACTGTATGTGTCAGTCATTTCTAAAGTCATGAATTTGCAATACCTGGGAATTAGTGGTTTTGAAATTATAAATAAAATATGTTTTAATAAACCTTCTCGATAGCCGGGCATGAATCATCCAGACACCTGCTTTTTCTCACAATGACATTTATTCCATATTTTAATTGCAGAGATTGTGGTATGAGATATCTGTTAACTCACAGACAATTAATTCTTCACTATATATTCATTTTCTGAAACCGGTAATTATTTGTATTTGAAGGGAAGTAAATAGTTTTAGTTTTGAGTGACAGGTGGATTAATTAAAGTGGGGGTGGGTTAATTAAAACACTATCGTTCTGCCTCATCCAAGTTTAGCACTTGCAAAAAATGATTATATTAGAAAATACGTCGATAATATAATGCGCGCTGGTGAATGGACACTCTCTAATATTAGCATAATATAGCAACCACGTTCGGTTGAACATCGCGCCAAAACCTCGAAGATTGCGCTTTCAGATTTGACAAAATAACAACATCTGACCAGATTTGACCACACGACGCATTTTTATAATTTTTCTAGAGACCTTCCACTAACTATTCCCTCAGATTTTGAATTTACTTACCACTGATGCAGTTCATACTCCTTTTATTTGTCCGTTTATTGTCTTTTTTAGTATCTTTGGTTAAATTTAACGCCGTGTGTTGGTTGTAAGCCCCTTGCTCTAACTCTGTATTTCTATCGGCTCTGTTCGGGTCCTGCATGGCCGGTTGGAAAGCCAAGTGCTGTCCTAAGTGAGGACCATGGCGTCCGACTGGTACAGATCTACCGAGTCCGTATACATTGTTATACAATATAGATTGAAGAAGGTTAAACTGTTGGGTCGCAGCAAGAAACTGCCGTTGTTGTTCCATCACGGCGTTGTTGTCAACTTGTCGTCCTCCAAAGTGCGACACAACCATGGATTCCTGTTGACGTACCGGACCTACATGAAGCCCTGAAACTCTTGGAGGGGTCTGTATCGTCTAGAATGAAAAAATTGGAAGAATTGGTGTGTTTTTTTTCCTTTTACATCTCTAATATGGGCGGACCTACAATTGACAAGTGCGGAAGCCCATTTTTCAAAAAGTGACGCCTATTTTCTAAATAAGGCTCCTCTAAAAGTGATAGTCACAATGTTACGATAACGATAATCACAATTGTCTTGAGATGGTATGCCCTCGGATTAGACAGTTTTTTATTGTATCATACTTAATAAAGTTATACCCGAAATAACAAAAATGTTACCGTGAAGTCTCTCTAGATATTTTTCCAAAATTAACCTTCATGTGAATCATTCTAATATGTGTGACATAATTATCAATTGTTTTTCAAAATTTGCTTCTGACACATTATTTGCAGTATTATCATATTGTTTCGGAGATTCGAGCGTTTGACACTTCTCTGGTCACGTGTCACAACTTACCTTTGGCTTACTCCCACCGATTGCGCCAGGCTTTATAGATCCAGTCTCGTAGAATCTTGTCAGAATTTTACTAACACAACCATGGGATACCAACAATTGGCGGGAAATATCACATGGTCTAACCCCTTGGAGTGCAAGCTCAACAATACGCCTGCGAACCTGGTCCGGCAGGGGGCGCCCATTTACAAAAACGCCACCTAGTTGATTTACTCCCGTTTGGCCTATAAAAGAAAAAATGAATTCCCGTGATCTGTCCGTTCTCGCCAAGTGCATTATCATTAGATAGTTTATACTATATACGATGTAAGAGTGCAATAGAATTAATAAAAATGAAGATCATCGTGTGTGTTTTGCGTTTCTTTTTCTTTAACATTTAAAAAAAATAAAGATCATTGTAAAGAGATCAAAAAGGAAAAAGAGCATAATTTGTAAAAAAAATCGTCTTAGCCTATGATACGTATAAAATCATATACAAGAATAATATAAGATCTAATTTTAAAGCAAATTTTTTAACTAAATAAATGTTTACTTACCCGTATGAGGCATCGTGTACCGTTTTCAATTTCTACTTTTTTCTTCAAGTATGTCGGTATTTGATAATTTTCTTAATCTTAGTCTTAATATCAGATATCTAATGAAGAGCACTTGTTCGTATTTAGTGAAACAATACCGCTAATTTGTGAAGTGCGCCTGTTTTATTGAGACGTGCGTGTCATTAATTGACAGGACCGATCATTAACGACTGGTAGGGGTTCATAAATAAATGTTTGTTTCACATCTTTTCATACCGTCCTTAACATTGATTGATCGAAATGGATAGAATATTAATAATGAATTTCAGTGATGCATGAGCAATATTATATCGTAATCATCAAGGCAAATCTTTTTAGTAATTTTTCTGCTGCATCAGTCCGATTTTTTGAAGATCGTCTCGACTTAATATGTATTTTGCCACTGAGTAAGCCGAATAATCGGTGAAAGGCTTGATTTTATTTTTATTTTTTGTTATTATCTTATAAAAGGCTGTTTTAAATGTACACAATTCATAAACTTATGGTTTTTAAGTTAACCACATTTTTGCTTTTGAGTTCAAGTTTGTATGTTTTATTTTTTGTTTTTTTCCTGGTGGTGTGTTAGTTTAATTTCATCCAACTCGTTCAACATTTTCTTTTTGGGTTGGCCTTATTCATCTAATTTTCTGAAAAGTTGGCTTTGGAGATTGATGACACGTTGCTTTTGCACCTTTCCCTCAACCATAAATGCTCAATTATTTCGAAAGGGAAATTATCCGGAATTCCGCCTATCCATTCAGTAGGCTAGCGCCTCATGCATAATTTAGACATATCGTTAATTAGAGACAACAGCGACATATTTAGGAGAAATGTATATAATTAAAGTCCTGTGATCAGAACATGATCGCAACAGATCACAGGCGTTTTGATCATCGATACAATGGGCTTTGTAATTGATCTTTTATTTATGAGAGTATCTCTTACTGAGAGGATCCTAATGAGTCCTTCGCCAGGTCGGTCTATCTCTTAATTTACCTCGGATGCATATATTTTCATTTATCAATTTGAGAACCTATTTATGATGGGCAGAAATACCGTCTTGCGTTATCTTTTTATCGACATCCTTTTCTTTTACGGTCATCTCGGTCTCGCTGGTCATGAATGAAAAGAAATTCAAAATAAGTAATTGTATTTATCGTCAAAAAATCGGAAATTAAAGTAAACATATATTATCATATATACAATCGTTGTATTACTGGTACTGGTACTTGTATTTGTTCTTGTGTTGATAATCTTGCATCAAGGCTCTGTACTTACAAATCATCCCTCTCCATATTCCCTCTCTACCTGAAAGGGAATGCGTGTTCAAGGTTAATACATTGATGTAAATACCCCTACGCGCAGAATTATTAAAGGAATATTCCTTGCCAGACCCTTTCTCTCTTGATATGTAGCTATAATCATATATATATAGTTTACATATTTAGCAAAACATGGGAAAATGTTTTAATATGGTCAATATTGATCATTTAAAAATCTAGTGCTTATTTCCAGTGAGCTGCCATCTTTTAAGATTTCTTGCAGGAAGTGATGTCATCAACTCTCAACTTCTATAACCTTGCCCATAACAGTATAGGAAAGTAGCACAAAATCACTTCTAGACAAGTGATCATTACTTTCTGTGCAAAAATATTTTCAGGGCTTGTCAACTTAGAATAAATGAAAAGATTTTAAGAAGGATTAAATAAGATCCAAAGTTGAAAAAGAATATTTAGCTGGTTTTGTAATTGTTAATAGCTCCTCACCTAATGATATATGCAAAGTTGAGAGTCGATGACATCACCTCCTGTGTGAAATTTTAAAAAATGGCAGCTTACTGGAATTGAGCATCACATTTCTAAGTGATCAAATTTGACCAGATCAAAACATTTTTGCGTGTTTTGCTAAACATGGCAAGCATATATATGGTTATAGCTACCATATGAGGAGAGAGATGGTTTGGCAAGGAATATTCCTTTAACTACCGAAGATAAGACTCACTTTTAAGTCGAAGCGAAGTCGAACGAATGCAAATGGCTGCAAAGGGGTATGGTACAAAACTATGGGATTGAAACATCTAATCTTGCTTCACGATCCTGTACATATCACCCCCCCCCCCCCTTCATCATATCCCATTTCTGTAATAATGACACGGGGAACTTTAAAGGTGTCGATACAAGACTTCACCGATGAGAAAACATATAATTGAGTGTTGAGAGCCTACAGTATGGCAATAATAGCGTGACTGTAGCTCCACTTCCCCTGCAGGTGCTTCTCTACAATTAACCAGACATAACCTATTCATTATAGTCTTTAACTGAACAGATTAGTAATGTTAATCTGCTACTATTCTATAAGCATGCAATCGCTACTAGTCTTTATTCATACACTCCCCATTCATAATAGAGAAATAATTGTCGCTATACGCCATGGAAATATCTGAAAGGTGTAGTTATTCGCAAAAAATAATATGCATTATAATAATCTCAGATTACATTTTACTTTTGACTGTTTATTGTCATGCATCATATATTTACCTGGTCGTAGAAGATCGCAACCTTTTACCAGTTCCTTTCCAGAAAAGACTAGTTGCTAATTGGAAAACAGGGCTATTATATGTCCGGATAAACGTCATGTTTGACAATTTAGAGCACATAAATGTCATAAATGTCGGCACACTTCATATTTTTGTGAATGATGGTTTGAGAAAACAACTTGTTTCTCTCATCTGTGTAATAAAATGTTACGTGTAGGTTTGTATATCTATAAGAGGCAGAATAAGACTTGAATCATGGCAACATGCACTTATGACTGACCTAGCGCATGCTGTACGTATCTGAAATATATTATTTCCCAAAAAGATCTGTTCCATCTTCAAATGGAGAAATTATCTAACATTCAAATTGCAAAAATGGATAAGTGATGCAATAATAATAAATTTGTGTACCCACAATTTTAGAAAAAGTTGGAAACATGTAATTGTAAAATCGTTTATGTTTTCCTTGAATATGTATAGACTGATAATATGGGCAGCGGCGAATAGGATTTTCCCAGGATTTTTCTTCATCCTAGGTATTTTCAAGCAATTTTTGAGCGATGTAAAAGGAGAAGTAATTCTTGTTAGGAAATAGATGCCAATGTGTTTTCATATTTAATGCCTTTGTAAGGAAACATAACTAAATGAAGTGCAGTTAAATTTTCCGCAAAATCGAAGCGTTCTGATTAGTTCATGACAAGTGAAATGATCAATCAATCAGCGGACAGAAACAGCTTGAAATAATAACATCCACATCTTCGCGAACAATCGCAGTCATTGTATTGTCTGTAAATGGACAATTTTGGTGCACCTTGATTCTTCCTCATTTGTTGTGTTTTGGGTTCATTCGTATATACCAGCTCACTGCCAGATTCAGATGTTAAATGAATGCATTTGATTGGTTGATTTTATGATATAATTAACTTTATTTAGTATTGATTTCGAGGATCAATTCCTCTGATTAGTTCAAAAACTGCATTTTAGTTTTAGTTTTTTCCAATATCACCCCGCTAATTCTGATATCATCCCGCCCGGGGAAATCATTTGAGACTTGGTTTCGTTCTTTTCACATTCACGTCATCTATTGAATTACTAATTTCCAAACTAGATTTTTATGTTTTGACAGTCATACTATGAAATACATGTAACGTTTATATTGTAAAAATTAGTTTATTGTTTTCTCATCAAACAGATGGTTTTTGAGGAAGATATTGCTCTTGACCGTGGTATAAGGTCGTTATTCATCTGTCGGGGTGATATGGGGAATAAACCTCGGATTTACTTCCTGCGAAAGCTATTTGGATTTTGATATAATAGCTTTCCCACGGAGCATTTGGACAGCTCAATGATCGTGACCTTTGAAACCGAATTAAGTCGATCCGCGGCTTACTTTTGGTCTCTAACTGTGTCTTACATCAGTATCATCAATCCGTGTAAGTATTGGAGCGCTGGAGTACTTCTTTTTCGATCAAGACTTGTAATTATTAGTCGAGTGAATCGTTTTACTGCCAAATTCCAATATGGCGGTTTCTGCTCGGACATTTTCGTAAATCTCCGGAGGTTGTCCGAACCTAACTAATTCTCAAAATTCATTTCGTTCGTTGCGTATCTTGCACCTAGCAAACCGCCATATTGGAAATAGGTCTGTAAAACTTTAACTCGATGAACAATTTACAAGTCTTGATCGAAAAAGAAGTACTCCAGCGCTCCAATACTTACACGGATTGATGATACTGATGTAAGACACAGTTAGAGATCAAAAGTAAGCCGCGGATCGACTTAATTCAATTTCAAAGGTCACTATTGATCAGCTGTTCACTTCTCCGTTTGAGAGCCATAAGTTTCAAAATCTAACATGGCTCTCGAAGTGAGTAACCTCGGATCATATCGATATTTGATTGACATCGTTCTTGTGATATTCCCCATCATATTCCCTCCTGGTGAACAACTTCTTTGTATCGTCTGACCAGGACTATACACTGTTGCTCACAAATATGGAATATTTTACAGATGTTAGTTGTTTGGAATAATTTCTACAAAATAATCATATTTTGTTACCCTGCGTGCAGAGTCTAGTTAAACTACAAGAAGACGAAGCTCTCTTTCAAGAAGTGAAGTCAAACGAATGCAAAGGGTAATATTTTGTTGATAATGATTAATGTATTCTAATTCCCTACTCAGTTTTGCATATAAATCTGGTTGGTATGTAAAATTAAATCATTTATGGTTGATTAAATTTGCATTCACTCACGTGACCCTATGACCTCATGATATTGATAATTTGAAGGAGGCATATAAATCTTAGCTGTAGTAATTGTACGCATTTTATACAAATCTCATATTGTGTTCTAAGAGTTTTTAGAAGACACGTCCCATAGAATAAGTGAAAAAGGTAAAAGGAATGGCGCTCTTCGGCATGAAACAAACTGCCACGGCCAAGACCCTATGGATGTGTCAGGAACAGTCTATAAAAATTCTTCAGTGGAACCAAAGGCACAGGAATGTGACTCCAGGTCACAGCAATGGTAGCCCAAGAAAGACAAATGCAATTAAAAGACCACTACCTG